GACGTAGATTTAGATTACGGTATTGTAAGGGCATGTACAGAAAGAACGGAGATTTTTATTATACAGGACGAGCGGAGATTTTTGAAGAGAACGACAGAGATTTTGTACGGAAATATGCGAGATTTTTTTGTCAGAAAGTTGGTAATAAATTCACACTTTTTATGATTTAACAGGGGAAGTACTCCAAGTGCGACGCTCAGATTTTGATGAAACTTGGCACAAATTTAGAATAATTTTTTCTAAGATATATGCGAGATATATCTTAGCTCTCTGCAATGCTCGCGCTTTGCAGAAGCAACCGAGATTTTTAGATCGAAAGTCGGCGAAAATTTAGGACTTTCTGCCGAATTTCGGCACGAAAATTTTATTGTCTATTTCTACCGTAAAATATAATGTTTCTACTAAAAATCAAATTTTTCCGCTCCAAACTGCTAAAGTTATGGTCAAAAAGCGCTCTTCTCTCTGACCGCTCTCCACGTTTAGCGTGCTCTCTCGGCGGCAAAAATCGTTCGATATCTCGGCGGCGCCCGCCAAGCGCGAACTAAAACTTTCAGGAATTGATACTTAGTCCATACCCAACGTGTGTGCAAAATTTAAAGAAAATCTGAGCGTCGCACTTGGGTACTTCCCCTGTAAATTTTAAAATTTTTGAGCCTCATGTCTGCAACGTTCACACAAAAAATCAATTTTTTCCATGCAAGATTGACAGAGCCATGCACGGAAAACTGAGATAAGCTAAAACAGTCCGGTCTTTCTTTTGGCAGTATGCAAAAAAAAGACGTGAAAAAACGTTTTGTCGGCGAAGAAATGGGGAATTTTTGGGCCGAGAGAGTACGCTTTTACGTGTCTTTTCTCTGTATTCTCTAAAAAAAATCCAGACGAATTGTAAAAAACCGATAGCGAAGAGTCTATTCCGGTCACCGGACTCCTCAGTTTAACGTGTCATGGTCGAAACACGTGTTTTTGTCTGGCCACACTCCGCATAAGGCACACTCTCTCGTTACCTATGAATCTCTCACTTGCAACTTTTACATGTGAGCCTGGAGGGCCTTGGCTTTACAAATTTCCACATATTCAATGTAAGCAGCGATTTTCAAAATCAAAAAAAGTTTTTTATCAGGCTGTCGGGAAAATAACGAGCACCATCGACGCCGAGAAAATCAATTATTTTGGGGCAAAATCAAATTTCACTCCGGCGACCCGATTGCCGCGTTGACGCTGTGCTCATTATTTTCCCGGCATTTTTTTATGCCTCCTCTGTTTCAGAAGTCCGAAAGTGTTCCGCACGGAAATTAGGTTTTATTTCACCTCATCTTTGCTGACCAAAAAACAAGACGCTCTTTTGAATAGTCGGCCGGAGTGGGGCTGCAGACGGAAACGTGCTCAACGAATAAGTAATGCTGCAGTTTTTAAGTATATATTTTTTACCGAATCCTGGTTAATAAGGGAAGTCGGGGAAGAATTTCCTCACCTTTGGCGAACATTTTGGGAATATAACACGCATTTACATATTATCATAATGGCGCAAAATTTTGAGCTTTTTATTGAAAGATTCTTCTCTTTATTTGTCTGCCGGGAAAATGTGTAATGGCGGGTCGTTGCAGAAAAGTGTTTCGCCTTGTCAAAAAAAGGCTTCAATCGCGCGCCAAATCCCCAGCCGCGACTAGCTGCCGCAAGGCGATGATAGGTGATTCCAAGGCGCGATGATCCAATGATCCACCGTTATTTTCCCGACAGACTGATACTACAGAAGGTAGCTTTCCACAGAGCACAGAGCCTCGCATTTCTATCCACTATTCTCTTAAAGTATGACTTTCTTTATCACCAGTCTGTCGGGAAAATGACGAGCACCCGATCGCATCCGAAAACAGCATCATGGCCGAGAAAATGTACAGGGTCTTTCAAGAAACGTGAAGGAAAGTCGGAGACTATAACTTCAGGCGGAGGCGGCGCAGAGACTTCGTTTTTGGGATATGTAGTTTTAAGCGGCATTAATTTTTACCTATGAAATAACAAGATTTTAAAGTGCAAACTGAGGTCGCTGCGACCTAAATTTCCATTTCCAATGACAGCGACACGTTCGGTGCTGAAAAAATTGTGCTCAGGTTCGTCAAAGCTCGAGACTAATTATCATCAAAGCTTCAGACGAAATACGTTTTTTCTGCACGACGACGCTGCTACAAACCTACCTTTCCCCACGGAATATTACGATCTTGTTGCTATATCTTACCACTTTTTGTTGTGGCAATGATCAAGTTTTTCGAAACGGCAATAACCCTTTAGTTTTGTTGTTTGTTCAAATTTCTCTGGCACAATTCTATTTTGGGGTTTTGAGGGGAGATTTTGTGTACGATAGGGCACGAAAGGCGGCTTGATTACAAGTTGGTGGCGACAGGTCTGGGACGCGAGAACGCTGCCGGTAAATAACGGGGCCCTTTATCTGTAGAGCATTCATAATAACATGATAAAAAACAAAATTTTTGTTAGGCTTTCGCAGGGATTTGGAAAATTTTGCGATTAGACCGAGATTTTTTGTTCAAAAAAAACGGTGGAAATTTCACACAATTTTTGCCAGTTTACGCATAAAAAAGTCTTTCCGCAAAAAACCAACTTTTTTCAGTCCCAAATTTACAGCCAAAGTAGAGTGGGGGACTTGATCGAGTGGCAAAAAACGTACCATTTTGCTACCGGGAAGTATAAAAAATGTGTCAAAATGCTTCCCTTTCCAAGTGAGAAAACTTCGTTTTGAAGGGCTCCCTCATAAAAAGAGCGGGTGCGCTTTAAAAACTGAAGTTTTCTCACTTGGAGAGGGAAGCATTTTGTCACATTTTGGATACTTCCCTGAAGCGAAATGGTACGTTTTTTGCCACTGGATCAGGTCTCCACACTGTACGTTTGAATCTGGTCTGCTCTCCGCTTTTTGCACCTTTCGGCAAAGATCGTTGAGTACTGGTCGTTCCATGAAATTGCGTAGACTTTTTGTCGTGGACCGCACCATTCACAAAGCCCATTTCTACTTGCTGGAAAAGCATATGACCTTTTTCAGAGTAAGTGCAATATCGCTGCGACGCAAGCAGTGCCGAGGAAGTAAGGTTTATAAAAAAAGGGCAATTTTTTTCCTGGTCAATTCCCAAAAATTTCATTTCGCCTATTACTGGAACAGTAGAAATATTCAACGGTCATGTCGACGAGAGAGTACCGGAAAAGCGGAGAGATGTCAGAGATGGCCATATCTTTGACAGTTCTGTGCGAATAAAGATTAATTTTTTTGCAAGAATCTTACAGTCTACTGTAAAAATGAGAGTGTAACTTGTCATATATAAATATGTAAACCTATAAAAAAGTATCGAATTTTCAGTCATCAATGTTCGTTTATTTTTTGTTGATACCAAAAAAATAGGTTTAAACTTCACCGGGTTCCAGTTCGCATTCCAATTCGAGTTGCACTTTGTCCACAAAACTACACATCCTGGTTTCATGGCTTTAAACTCCTGAAAATCTCACGAATTGTCGCGAGAAGTGCGTAGGGTTATTCGGATCGTTCTCAAAATTTTCTTCGACAGACATTTACATGTTACAATTCGCGTTTACGGCGAGAAATGGCAAGGATTAGTCAGTTCCGTAATTCGTATGCTAAGATCCTGGGTGAAACCGGAGGTTTGCCATGACGTGGGAAAATTTGCAAAAAACTTGGTCATTAAACTTTGTTGGGAAATTTGACCTTGCATCTACTATCATATCCGGCTTGACCAGTTGAAAAGGTCGAACTGGAGGGTTCGACAGGTCGTTACCGTTGAGCTTCAACAATCAAAATCGATCGATACGAAGCAGGTGGATGCCCAAAAACAGGTTCTAGGAAGTACATGCAAGGGCTGGAAAAGCCGTTGGATGGTCGGCGGATGCTCGGCGGAGGCTCGGCGGAGACTTGGCGAAGACTTGTAATATGGCTACTCTTTCTAATTCTAGCTATTTCTCACGTTAGTTTTCTCTTTTCTGAGCTATTGTAACATTTAAAAAATCGAAATTTGCGGCAAAAAATAGAGATCCGTGACTTTTATCCGGATATTATTGATGCGAATACATGTAAAATGCCTCAAACTAGGTGATAAACTGTCCTAGAACCCGATCAATCTTGTTATTTATTCTAACTAAGCCTTCTGCTAGCCTACCCATGCATGAAACAACAAACCAACACGATCCATAGTACTGTCGACCTGAACTCTTTAACCGAAAGGTCGTACTTCCAAAACATCGAACGTTCGGGAGAAACGTATTTTTTGGATTTGTGCCTATTCATAAAAATCTGCGCGTCGCACGCATTCTCTTTCTCAAAATTGTAATTTTCGGGGAAAACATGTTACAATCGTACAAGCCAAAGTATTACTAATTCCCGTTTGTGTTGTTTGTTACAACTTTCGCGGTAAAAATGATTTAGCCACAAAGCTTTTTTCGGTATTCGAAATTTTTTCGGTATTCCAAAAATTTCGTGACATAAAAAGTGGGCGGAGTTTGGCCAAGGGGGGTGTTGCAATTAGGGCTCTACGGTATGGCGATGTATTTAAAGTCGGGGGAGATGGGTAATTAGGGGTGAGCGTCCTGTTTATTTCGCATCTTTGGCCCACAATCCTTGGCCAACTCGAAACCATGGGAAACTGCGATAGGGGGCTAGTTAATTTTTTAATTTGACTGGGTACTGAGGATTTTTAAAAATCGAAAAAATTCGATTTTTTTTTGAAATTTCGTACTGTTTTTCCTGAGTTGTCAATTTACCAAAACTGTCCGGTTAAGTTGGCCAATCTGCCCGGCTAAGCTGACAATCTTTTTTTAAAGAAATTTTACGAATTTCACAAAAGTTAAGAAATTTTACGAATTTCACAAAAAGAGGTTTGTTGGACGTATTTTAGCCAGCGTTTTTTTCAATTTTTCGCGATTCTCAATTTTTTTTGGATTTTCTTTGATTTTTTCATCTATTCAAAAAATTACAGTACCCCACAGCAAAAATGGAGGTACTCCTCTTCGAGCCCGAGACCTTCAACCGTCTCTACAACTGCTCCTTTTACTCGACCGACATAATTCCGGTGGAGAACCGACGCCAACGAGCCTTGGGTGCGTTCATTTTTCCCAGCGGCGCCCTATCCTTTCTTCTCTACGTGGCTTGCGTCTACGCGATGATACAGCGCGATACAAGGGCGCGTGCCAGCTACAAGCTGATGATTTTGCTGGCATTCTTCCATCTGTATGGAATCGTTTTGAGTGGAATGACGACTGCCTATTTCTATTACTGGGGCACGGTTTACTGCGAACTGCCGACGCTGATCTATGTTATGGGCGGGTATGGAACAGGTAAGGGGTTTTAGGACTTTATGGGCTGAATAATGTACAGTATGGGACCTGATCCAGTGACAAAAAACGTCCCATTTTGCATCCGGGAAGTATCAAAAATGCGGCAAAACGCTTCCCTCTCCAAGTGAAAAAATTTCGTTTTGAAGTGCTCTTTTTGTGAGGGAAAAGGCGCGCCTTTGAAATAGGGGTTTTTCACTTGGAGAGGGAAGCATTTTGCCACATTTTCGATACTTCCCGAATGCAAAATGGTACGTTTTTTGCCGCTGGATCAGGTCGCTCACTGCAGAAGGTACCGTAAAAAAATTTTTTGCATTTGAAATTTTGCTTTCAAATATTGATTTTGTCGCTTTTTTAAACATTTTCAAGTTTTCAAAATTTATCAGTCTGTCGGGAAAATAATGAGCATCATGTCGCTGAAAAAATCAATTTGATTTTGCCGCGACACAATTCAAAATTCATTCTCTCAGCGACGAATTTTTCATCCGACATTGTCCTCATTATTTTCCCGACAGACTGATAAACCCAATGTCTGAGATTATTAAAAATGTTTAAAAAAAATTTTGCCAAAATTTCGAAAAAAAAACACTCAGAAAATTCAAAATGTTTTCAGCCACCTGGATCGGCGGGACTGTCGCTGGATCCCTCCTCTCATTCAACCGTTGCTGCGAGATGTACAGCAGCGCGCTGGCGGACGCCCTCTTCGGCGGGAAAAAGGTGTTTGTGTGGATGCTTCTGCCCCTCTCCTTGTGGCTCTACTGTTTCCTGTTCACGAAACCGCTGCTTTTCAACGGAATCGCCATGTCCTGGTATTTCAATCCGCATTACAAGTACTTTGACGATCTGGACGGCACTTATGTGAATGATCTGCACACTCTGAACAACACGTTGACATTGATGACGCAGTTGATGCTGAGTTTCACGTTTGTGGTGCTGTACTTTTCGAGGATCAAGGGCAGAGCGACCAAGATGAGCAAAAATGATAAATTGGTGAGCTTGAAGACTTTTCGGACATTTTTATAAAAAGTAAAACTTAAAATACAAAAAATGAATGAAAAATTTGTCTGTCGGGAAAATAATGTGCACCCTGTCGCATCGAAAATCGCATCGCTGAATTGTGTCGCGGCAAAATGAAATTGATTTTTCGCGATTGGTGCAGCGACATTGTGCTCATTATTTTCCCGACAGACTGATCCGTAAAATCATTTTTTCGGAATTTTTTTATTGCAAATGTCGCATTTTTTTTTATTTTCGCAATTTCTTGCCGAAAAAATGATTTTGAAAAATGGGATTTTTAACAAAAAAATTTTTAAATTATAAAATATAAAAGAAAACGATAAATATTTTAAAAATTATCTTTATATTTTTTCCATTTTTTCAGATGTGCCTCCAAGTATTTATCATTGGTCTCTTTGAAATCACAGCTGGTGTGACCTTCCTCCTCCAGCAACGATTTCAACTGAGTTTCGCGCTCACAATGCTGGCTGGAGTCTGTTATTTTGGATCACAAGGTAAATAATTTTTAAAATCATTAAAAAAAAGTTTTTTTTTATATTTTTGCATAGCAAAGTTAAGAAACACAAAAAAATAAAAAAAAGTAAAAAAAAAATAAAGTAAAAATAATAAGTAAAATAAAAATTTTTGAGCCCTCAATTAAATCTAATTTAAAAAATCTTTAGCCTGTGCCCCATACGTTTATTTGACCTTCAACCGGACCATTCGGAACATCGTCTTGGACAAGTTCTGCCCTTGTTATAAGCGAAGAGCCCAAATTTCGACGACCTTGTCGCAGGCGAAGCAAAGCAACGGCTCGTCGGCGTTCAGTGGAAAGGGATAAGATGCAAACTGCTCTATTTTTTATGTTTTTATATTGCTTTACCTTGTTTTAATCAAAAAAAATTTTGGGAAAAAACTTAGCAAGAAATTTTTTTGAATATACGAAGGTATTTTACAAAATCAGAGATAAAATTTTTGTATTTTAAAACAAAAATGCCTCAAGGCCCCAAAAAAACCTTAAAAAATGTTTTTTCTCCCGCTAAAGTGCGATTCAAACACTTTCAAAATTCAAACACCATTTTTTCCCATCATTTCCCACGACTTAAAACAAGGTATCTAACGCAACAACCAAGTGTAATTTCCCGGATCTCATAACTGGAATCGGTGTAATAGTTGCCGTTTCATGACGCTTTTTGGTTGAATTTAATTTCCTTTCGTGACAATATATGTTGTTGGTCTTCTAATATTATCCTTGGCCTTTTTGTTGTAAATAACTGGCAATAATTTGAATAAAAAATTTTTGATCTTAATTCCTGTTTCTTATACATACACATATATGTAGATATATATATATATATCCTAGCAGGTTTGACGGATCTAAAACTGATGTATTTTTAAGGATACATGATAAAAAAGACCATAAATCTAATGGAAATTCGATATCTCGCATGGAGATTAGGCGTAGAAGTATGACCGTGCCGTTTTTTTGGTTACGTATTTTTTACAGGTAGAGTAAAAGTTTTGATAATACTGTTAATATCACATGAAAGTACGTTGAAAACACTATCTACTGATACATGCACTGTATGGTCAGGCTTATCATAGCGGTTTTTATGAAGTTTCAAAGATGACCAACTTTCGTCCCAGAAAATTTAAAACAGCCAAAAAATTTTCCTTGATGGGAGTAATAATAGCATTTTCACAAAGTGCATGGACATTTTTTACGCCCAGAAAAATTTTTTTTCGCATCGAATCAAAAAATTGAGGTGGGCCGATACGTGACTTTTAAAAAAAGTTTCAAAGGGCAATTTGGACTTCTGCGAATATGGTAATATTCTTAATTTTCGCTTTGATAGCCCACATAAAGCCAAAAACACAATGCCAAAATATTTCCAAAATGGCGGAAAAATTTTCATTCAAATTTATTCAAAACGTTTTCTTGATGGGCTTGCCCTTACAAGCTCAGGGCCGATGTTTTGAAAAAAGTGCAAAAAAGCAAATTGCACAGTGCGCCGTCAAAAAAACAGTCTACGCACTTTATGAAAACACTAGTTATAAAAACTGCTGTAGACGTGTAAAAAAATCCCATCGGATCTCTGATTATTCTCTGCTAAATTTCTGTCTGGCTCTGTCGAACAAAAAAAACTGCAATATGTTTGTGTGACATTAGGATGCTCCAAGAACCCCCATTGATAAACTTTTTCCGGGAGTTAAATGAGTCCCATTATGTCACAAGTGTGGTCCGGCATAAATTTGGCATGCATTTGGGCCGTAGGCAAAACAGAAGGCTTACTGGAAGGGGGTAAGGATACTGTAGTATCTGAAAATCCTCCTCAATTTCTTGTCCTTGGGGTTAACATCCAAAAATATAAAACGCCGTTTCCCAACTTTAAGCCGTGGTCGCCAACTTCCTGCCGTGGTCGCCAACTACTGAATTACTCGGTTCCTCACTCACAGGTTCGGACACCGTTCAGCCGGAAGAGTCTCGGGTAAATCCTTCGACTTGTTCCTAAAATACCGAACACAAACAACAATTCCCAACAATGAATAACACACTCCTTTATCCGCCTCAACCTGTGTACAATCACTCAAATAAACACGTAACAGATATACAATCACCGGCGAATATCTTGGCCCGAGTAGTCCTCGACGATCCTCGGCCGTTTCGTACGTGCCAAACCCAATAACTGTCCAGATTGTCCCCATAATCCTCGTTTGAACGGTTTGTGGCGGAATGCCAACGTCCTCAATCAGATCGCTTCGGGACTCGGCGGCGGTCCAAACTCCTCGCGGTTGTACTTTTCAAGTATATATTATACCATAGAACAGCCGTTCAACGATCACCGTCATCTTCCCAAGAAATCTCCAAAATTTCATCTCAAAAATAAATATCAAAAAAAAAACTTTATTGCAATTATTCCTTTTATTAGTTGCGTTACAGCGCCAACGCTACAATTACTCGTCTGCTCCCTTCGTGGTTGTGCTGCTGGAAAACATCTGTATAATATTATTTTATACGATGAAGAGTAATGAAACACCATACGGGGAAGGGTGGTCTATAATTAACGGGAAATTACGGTTGCAATCTGAAAGGAAATATATTTCGGTATGGCGCGTGTTGAGCTGCATAAACAAGTAAAAGTTTGCATGGGTATTTACTGCAATACAGCAAGTGCAAAACAATGAAAATGGAAGGAATTTTGTAACCACTGATTTGGACCATCGGTTGTGAGACGCTCTGTGGTAATTGCATAGTGCAAAATGTTTCATAAAGGATTGCAGGAAAAAGGAAAATCTCGGCATGAAGAAGGCCGAAAAAAGCGTATACACTTTCTGAAAAGTTAGTCCATCGGGAAAATAACGGCTGGTCGTGGCAGCAAAACGTTTCGCTAAAAAAAGTGTGCAGTCGCACGCAAAGCGGACTGACACTACTATGCTGGTCCTTTCGGTAAGTCGCCGGACTGATTTTTGGTAAAAAAAGTCAGCGTTCTCGCAATAGCCGAAAAAAAACTTTTGTTTTCTTGTCGTTTTTAGTCCGACGACCTTCCGGAAGGACAACAGTACGCAATTCGCTAAAACTAAATGTTGTCCTTTTTACAACTCTATTCGTAGAAGACTATACATCGTCTGCCAGTACAAGGAATACCTCTTGCCCTTTTTGGGTTAATTACAGATCGAAACCTACTACGCACAATGTGATCATTGACTTTGAGAAAATTGGAAACTCTACTGTATATACTCTACTGTATAGTATCCATGTATGCCGACGAAAAATTATTTTTAACCCAAAAAATGTACACCGAAAAATTAAAAATTTTGTGAGCCTCGGAATTAATTTCATAATGCATTAGGGAATAAAATTGAACTGCAAGTGTGCGTTACAGATACGGTATTACGCTTGGCGGCTGGTATGACATTAAAATGAGCAGGTGAATTGGTCGAAATGCAACGTGTAGAGAACCAATTCATATGAGACGTTCCACGTATATTTTCAAATTTTGCACATACGAGGGGTATGGGTCACTGAATTCCTGAAACTCATACTACGCCACTGCAAAAATTGTGTAGACTTTTGTCGCAAGCAAAGGTCATCTGCACAGTGCATTTGATTTTTCAAACAAATGCACCTTCTTTTCGGCGAGGCGAACCATTTTGCTGCGACGACCCGCTGTTATTTTCCCGACAAGAAACTGCGGTATTTGTGATCAGAAAAGTCAGAAAGACCTGTTTTGAGCTGCTCCCATTTTTGCAATATGGGAGCAAGCGTTGTCGTGAATGAATAACATTTGTTGGGGACAAGTTACATATCAGTCTACACGTTATCACATCAATTTCAATTTCAATTTATTTCCGCTGATCATCTATCAAAAGTAGAGAAACGGGCCATGATTCGGGGCCAAGATGGGGATGTCACGTCGGTTCTCCAGTGTGCCAATCCTCAAGAAGGTCCTGCCACGGGTTGAGCTTCTGCCATCCTCCGGAGGGGTTGTTGCCAGCAACGGCATCGTCGGCAGGAAACCCAACCGCTCACCGCGGTGTGAACGGAAGGAATTATCACATCACCCTTACATAGTCACACGATAGAATTTTTTGGGAAGTTCCACAACTTTCATAACTAACCCGAAAATTATGGGGAATACTTTTTTACCAACCTAATAGTAGAGTTCGAACAGAAAGGACACCCTTATCGGCCCTACCTTTGCCTGTTTCGTGGGGAAAACTAATGTTTGGTACACATATTAACATATGCGGCAGAAATGGGCAGGCATATTTTTTGTTTTTGCACTATGCATGTCGCCAAAATCACGACATCGACGTTGCAAGCAAAAATCCATTTCTATAAAAAATTTATGCCGAATTTTTTGTGAAATATGTGCGTCCCGTGCCGAGTGTTTTCTTCGAATATATTAAGTATGTTTTGCTCGTACGGTGCTGTTTAAAAACGCCGTTTACTTTTACTGACAGGTTGTTGTGCGTTTTCATTTTTCAAAATGCCCTGTGCGCCGTGACGAAAAGTCTATGATCTTTTGAACTTTTTGGAGCAAGTCTGTCGGGAAAATAATGTGGATTCGTCGGGCTTTGAGAGGAGATCATTGATTGCTCCACAGCGGCTAAAAGTTTGATTCTCGGCCATCACGAAAGTTGAAACATTTTCAAAATTCACGTCTGTCGGGAAAATAATGAGCTCTCTGTCGCATCGCAAATCGTATCACCGCTTAGGAAATTAATTGTGTCGGGGAAAAATCAAATTGTCTTCCCTTCAATGACGCAATCGGCGCAGCGACATTGTGCTCATTATTTTCCCGACAGGCTAAAACATAGTTGCAATTTTTTTCAGAAATGGAGGCTCTCATTTTTGAACCGGACGAGTTCGCCAAAGTCTACAACTGCAACCTCTACGACACGGAGCTGCATCCGCGCGAAGAGCGACGCCTTCGGCTGGTCGGCCTGATATGCCTTCTCATCGGGATCGTGTCGGTTGTCCTTTACCTCGCTTGTATTTATGCTATGACCAAAAAGGAGCTGATCCGATTGCCGGCCTTTAAGTTGATGATTTACATGGCGTTCTTCCATATGCATGGCTGCCTCTCTGCCGGCTTCTTCATGGCGTTCATGTTCTACGACGGCACTGTTTTTTGTGAGCATCCGACCATTGATTTCATTGGGGGAGAACTGGGAACAGGTGGGATTTTTGGATTAGTTTGTTTCGGTGTCGCGACTGAGCTACCATTTTGCGGAGAGCCGACATTTACCGATTAGGATTACGATTTTTCTATTGCTTTACATTGTGTGAAACAAATTTTTGCATTGGCAACAAGGAAGCTTGATTCGCAAAATCTGACTTCTCAGATTTTGCGAATCACCCTTAGAATTCCCGGGGCTTCGGTAGTTCAGTTGGGGGTTTGATCTAAAACGTAGGGGGCTTGACCTAAAACATAGGGGGCTTTTTCTAAAACGTAGGGGGCTTGACCTAAAACGTAGGGGGCTTTTTCTAAAACGGAGGGGGCTTCATCTAAAACGTAGGTGGCTTGATCTAAAACGTAGGGGGCTTGTGCTGGACCATACAACAGAGAAAAGACGCGCAAAACCGTGATCTCGCCATAAAAGAGTCCCCATTTCTCCCCCGATAAAAAGTTTTTTCGCATCTCGTTTTTGGAAGGTTGCCAATCCATTCACCATACTGTTTTAGCTTATCTCAGTTTGACGTGCGCCTAAAAGCAATTTCAATTTGATTTTGCCGCCGTGACACAATTTATTTCATCAGCGGCGATGCGATTTTCTATGCGACAAAGCGCTCTTTATTTTCCAGACAGATTGACCAATAAATATCTCCTTTGTTAGCGTATCTTAACTTCCGGTTTCAGCCTTCTGGATCGGTAGCATGGTGACCAGCACGATCCTGAGTTTCAACCGCTGCTGTGCCATGTACGACCAAACGCTTGCGTACTTCTTCTTCTCCGGCAATCGCGTCTACCTTTGGATGATTTTGCCGGGGGTTCTGTGCTACTACGGTTTTCTGTTCGAGCCTCCCGTTTTGTACAGTGGGATCGGGAAGTCGTGGTATTTCAACCCGCATTATCATTACATAGACGAGGTGAAGTACGAATATGTCAACCAGCTGCATACCTTCAACAACATTTTCACGGTTTCTGTGCAAGTCGTGTTGACCATCACGTTCGCCGTTCTGTATTTCGACAGAGTGAAGAGTCGCAAGTCGCAAATGACGCGGAATGACAAGTTGGTAGGAGCATGCAACATTTATAACAAAGTTGCTAGTCCGTCCGCTAACGATAAGTCGCTGTGGTGATTCTTGCGATATGCAATATGCGAAAACTAAAGCTTAATTTGCACTGCGCCATTTCTGTATTTTTGCACCGTGCAATTCTTTTTCCGCTTTTCCGGGCTATCGCTCGAATGACTTCTCTGCACAGTGCAAGTCGCCGAAATCACTCTACCGGCTTTTCGAACAAAGAGGTACTTCTGTTTGCCCCATGAAGTCCGGATAATTAGCCTAATGTGGCGGACCTGATCCAATTGCAAAAAACGTACCATTTTGCATGCAGGAAGCATCAAAAAATGTGGCAAAATACCTCCCTCTCTAATAGTAAGCAAAAAAACGCAATTTCAAAAGCGCGACGCACGTCAAACTGAGATAAGCTAAAACAGTCCGGTGAATGGATTGGCAATCTGCCAAAAAAAGTCGTGAAAAGACGTTTTGTCGGGGAAGAAATGGGGAATTTTTGAGGCGAGAGAGTACGTTTTTGCGTGCCTTTTTAATCTATTTCTCTGCGAAATCAAGACGAAGTGTAAAAAACCGATAGCGAAGAGTCTATTCCGGTCACCGGACTTTGACGTGCGACGCTCTTTTGCGAAGGAAACGGCGCGCTCTTCAAAACGAAGTTTTTTTACTTGAAGAGGGAGGCATTTTGCCACATCTTTTGTTACTTCCCGGATTCAGAATGGTACGTTTTTTGCCACTGGATCAGGTCCCTCACTGCAGCGCGTTTTTTGACAAGTTCGAAATACATTTTCTGCAAATACAATTTTCCGCTCTTCAGATGTGTCTTCAAGTATTTTTGATCGGTCTGTTTGAAATGTGCGCCGGCACCTCATTCCTTGTTCAACAGCACGTCGAGCTGGACTTTGCGATGAGTCTGTTCGCTTCGTTCAGTTGGTTTGGATCGCAAGGTGATTTTTCTGTCGCAAACGTTGCGAAATAAACGATGAATTTTAGCCATTGCGCCATACATCTACCTCACATTCAACCGGACCGTTCGGACTATCGTTGTACGAAAATTCTTGCCTTGTTGGGGTAGAAAGAACAATGTCAACGAGATGCCTTCAACTACTCATGAGCCCTAAATTAGCTGTTGGCGCCAATTTTGGAACGCATTGAATACTGGAGATAGTACTAGAACAAGTAGAGAAACAGTACTATAACAAGTAGAGCACCACCTGAATTGTCAATGTTTAGGATTTTCAAACTTCCACCGTCTTCAAATATATCTTTTATTAAAATACTATGAGGCTGAGTATATCCTGAGTATTATCAATTCCTGAAGGTTTCGGCTCGAGCTTTGCAGCGGCAGCGTCAGCGAGAGAACCAACAAATGCATGAACAATAGAAAAAAACCTTTTGGCTACATTATGTACTGGCATTGCACCTCCGTCGTGAAAATGAACGATGTCGCGGCAAAATCTTATTGCTTTTCACCTGAGCGGCGCGCGTCAAACTGAGATAAACTACGACAGTCCGGTGAATGGATTGGCAATTTGCGAAAAAAAGACACGAAAAAACGTTTTGTCCGGGAAGAAATGGGGAATTTCTGGGACGAGAGAGTACGCTTTTGTGTGTCTTTTTTCTCTCGTGGCAAAATGCCTCCTTCTCCAAGTGAAAAAACTCTTTTTGTGAGGAAAAAGGACGCGCCCTTCAAAATGAAGTTTTTTTTCACTTGGACAGGGAAGAATTTTGACACATTTTTGATGCTTCCATGATGCAAAATGGTACGTTTTTTCCCACTGGATCAGGTCCCTCACTGTAATGTGTCGCGTGTTGACCAGTGTTCTGCCTAGAGCTTCGGTTGCTTCTGGATGAAATAAAAATATTATTCCTCTTTGAACTCCCAAAGATTTCCCTTTTGAGAGCCACCCCTACCACATGACTTGTTAATTTCATTCCCAAACATACCACCATGCAATTTCCGTGATTTTTCACATTTTTTGGGAGCATAAGATATAGTGTTTCCCTTTGTTTAACGTAATAAATATTGGGTTCGTTTGGCTAATAAGTGGGTTAGGCTACAGGCTTGGCAAAGCACCCCCGCTTTCTGGCCCCCTATTCCGGTGGTTTCAATTCAACACAGGCTTGGATTGCACACTTGGAGTGTAGTTACAGCCTTGTGGCAGCGAGCTCGGTCGACCGTCCCTTTCACTTTCGGTCCTCCCATATTATTATATTATAAACAGGTATTGACCTAATTATATACCGTGCTCGGTGTCGAATAAAATAAGAAACATTTACCTTGTCGGCTTCTTGGCTCGTGGAGGGATGTTGTACCCTCGTAGGATATTTTTAGCAGTCTGCGCCACTGTGGTACGGTCCTATTAAAGGGTCGTCTTCTTGCCTGATGAAAATTATCAGTCTGTCGGGAAAATAATGTGCACAGTGTCGCTGCGCCAATCGCTTTGTTGAAGTGAAAAAAATTGATTTTGCCGCGGCACAATTCACTTTCTCGGTGGCGATGCGATTTTCGTTAACACAATGACTTTATTTTCCCGACAGACTGATAGTATTTACTTTGACTTTTTTGTTCTTTCTCGTACCGTGGATTTTGAACTTTTTCCCAAGCTTGTCGCGAATGCACAGTGCATTTTTCACCTTTCGCACAGTGCAAGCCACAAGAAAGCTTGCACCGTGCGAAATTTCCGATGCACGGTGCAAAAGGCGGATTTTTTGTACACAGCGCGGACCACGAGAAAATGTCCATGCACTTTATGAAAATACGTATCAGTCTGTCGGGGGTCAGTCTGTCGGGAAAATAATGTGGATTTGTCGCAGCGAAATATCTCGTTCATCGCCATAGCGAGTCAAATTTGTGCTACAGCCAGCCGTCGCAAAGGGATGATGGACAATTTCGAGACGCGACAAATCCGCATTATTTCCCCGACAGATTTATATATGTATACATATTTGAGGGCGGTGGAAAACAATAAGCGCAAATAATCGACAATTCAGGTGTTGCTTTATTTGTCGCCTTACCACCTTGGCTTGTGAATAATTTCTCCGCCCCAACACATGTTCAGAAATGGACCTCTACCTCTTCAAGCCGGACGATTTCAACCGTCTCTACAACTGCAATCTCTACGACACCGAGATATTCCCTCGCGAAGAGCGTCGTCTGCGAGTGATTGGGTTATTGTGTTTGCCTCCTGGAATCTTATCCGTCGTTCTCTATTTTGTGTGCATTTACGCCATGCTTCAAAAACAACTCATCAAGCTGCCAACGTACAAATTGATGCTATTCATGGCGTTCTTTCATCTTTATGGATGTATTTTGGGAGGTTTCTTCATCCCCTATTTGTTCTACGAGGCACCGGTGTATTGTGAGAGCCCGGATTTCATTTATTTGGCGGGAGCTTATTGCACCGGTAAGTGAAAAAAAAAGAGGAAATTCTCCGCGAGCTCTATGCGGCGCAAGTCATATGTCGAAATATCCGACAACTCAGTAACCAGACAAGACGAGAGCTCAAGAGACAAATGATTTATTCTGTGGAAAGGAGGCCTTTTATAGGGAAGCCCCACGTGGGAAAGTACAATCAAATTTGAATAAATGAAGACAGTTCCTCGTGGGAAAATCCTCAAAATTCAGTCGTTCCGCCTCACATTATAGGACTAGTCTGTTCGCAAAACCGTTGACACTGTGCAGAAAAAGTTAAAATGCAAGCGGCTGCCCAAAGCACAGGCTTAGCTCACCTTGGTTAAGCACGTGCTGCAATGCGGCATGGGCTGAAGCGACCAGGCCTGCAAATTTTTTGGATCCGGCCCTGTCGTCCCGAGTAAAATTTCTGGCGTAATTCATCGAGTTTTGAAATTCTCCCTCTCTGAAAAACGTCCTAGCCGGATTTTCTGGATCCAGAGAGACCCACTACTCTCTCAATGCTCTGTATAAAGATCGTTGAATATCTCGGCTCCCCCTGCGGAGCGTGAACTAAAATTTTCAGTATTTGATTTTTGGCCCATGTCCGAAGTGTGTGCAGGATCTCAAGCAAAAATCCTTTTTAATATTTTTACTTCAGCGTCTTGGATCGGAGGCACGATTACCAGCACAATCTTGAGTTTCAACCGCTGCTGCGAGATGTACGACCACACGCTTGCCCATTGGCTTTTCGCCGACTACCGTGTCTTCATCTGGATGGCCTTTCCGCTCACTTTATTCCTTTATTGCCTTTTCTACAACCGCCCTCTTTTGTTCAGCGGAATCGGCATGTCTTGGTATTTCAATCCCCATCACAAATACATCGATGACTTAGATGGTGTGTATGTTAACAAAATGCACACCTTGAACAACACGGTTACTGTTGCAACACAATTCGTGTTGAGTTTCACGTTTATGGTATTGTATTTTGGATGGGTCAAAAGTCATAAGACGAGAATGTCAAGGACCGACAAGTTGGTAAGTAATGGCTTTGACAAACGAGGAGTTTCCTCGCAACTATGGGCGTACGTCGTTGGAGGCTTCACAAAAAAATAAATTAAATCTGAAGTGACATATATAATATATCATGTGCTCAAAGTGCCACACACAGATTTTGATAAGGCATGGGACATGCTCTTTCTGTCTAGTATATCTCGCTAGCCGTTTGAGCTAGGAGGCTGAAATTTGGCATGGCAGTAGAGTAAAAAGCTGGCTTTCAGAAAATATAAATATTGAAGGGAACCCCCTTCTTCCTTTTGCCGTATGAACTTCCCGATGACAATTCAAAAAATCTCAGTAATGAAAATTAGGTTTCCAGATGTGCCTTCAAGTGTTTTTGATCGGCCTGCTCGAGCTGTTTGCCGGCACCACATTCCTGCTTCAACAGCATTACGAATTTAATCTGGCGATGAGCCTCTTCGCCTCAATTAGTTGGTTTGGATCGCAAGGTAAATTTTCAAAAAAAAAAAATTATTTTTCAAAATCCCAAAAACTAATGTAAATTATACATCTCTAATTAAGCGTGTGCGCCATACATTTACCTCACGTTCAACCGGACAGTTCGAAACATTGTGCTGCGACGATTCCTCCCATGCTGCGGCCGAAAGGTGAACTTCAACGTCAGCGAAATACCCTCAACTTTTCACGCTAAACGAAAAAATCCTCAGTAGCGTTTTTCCTTGATTGCATTGACAGTAGAAATACGTAGTGTTAGGAAACTCTTGAATGCGAAAACGTCGACATTTTCTTTACTGTGTATATAAAATTCTCGTGTATCTATGCTCACGACGAAATGTTAACATTCTCTGAGTTTTGGGGTTTGTTTTGGTGTTCGAGCGCATGTCTCGTCAAAAACAGGTGCAACTTTGGAGTTTATGATTCTTTGTGGCGCTTGAACATAAAAAAGTTATAGAAAATTCGGTGACTCTGTCCGGAAAACGATGGAATTAGTTTGATGCTTGCATATTGCAAGAGAGTTACGTAGAAACGACAGCTCAAAAAACGCGATTGCGCGGTGCAAGAAGCAACAAATTACACAGTGTAACGTGAACCTTTGTTTTCGCACAGTGCATGTCGCACAAATTACTCCAGCGACTTTGCAAAAGCCTGGAAATACCAGTCAATAGTACTAGGCTGGCCAGAAAGTCTTGACATGTCTGCGTCGTGCAAGAAACTTTTCGCGCGGCGACAAACAAAATTTACGGTGAATTGCGACCCCGCACAATGCAAAAAGATTGTTTTGAAAAGGGTAAATGACGCACAGTGCGCTCCCGTCAAATTTTTATCGCGCGACACCTCGTCGCAACGCCGAATTCATGCGCCCGCACGGTGCAAAAACATGTCAAGACTTTTTGAACCGCCTAGTACAAAACGTGACGTATCAGCAAACTTTCTGTGCAGGATGTAAGCAAACAGGCTCAATGGGAAAGCTTAATACGATTTCCGAACACACATGCTAACATTCTGTTTAAATTCATTTTGTTTGCTCCTAACTCAATTAAACCAAAATCATACAACATTTAGGCATCAATGTTCGTAAAACGAGATTGCCAAGCCGCGTTGTTTGAAATGAGGAAGCAGGGTTTGACTGCGACACTTTAATGAGCTCGCGCCATGAAGTCTCGGCAATCAATATTGCGTCCATCTCAGAGTTATCGTACCTGCCGCGCGATTCTATAATTTACCTTTTATCTATCAGTCCGTTGGGAAAATAATAGGCGGGTCATCGTCGCAAAGCTTCATAAAAAAGGGGTACAATCGCGCAACCAAAACGCCAGCCTCGGTTAGCCACCGCAACGCGATCTCGGGCGGTTGCAAGACGCAACAACCAAATGATATCAATCTGTCGGGAAAATCCGATCCGCACTATCGCCTTGCGACGGCTGCCGAAATTGGATTTTGGTGCGCGACAGCTCTCTTTTTTCGATTTTGTTGCTACGGCCCGCCGTTATTTTCCCGACTGATGATAGTTGTTTCGAATATGCTCATTATTTGTCCGACAGTTTGATAGTAGATGACCAGGCTTTCAAAACCTCCCATTTTCACCGAGCAATGACCGTAAAACTGTACAGGGTGCGGCAATTTTTCGGCCGGATTTTAATTGGCCATAGCTTTTTTAGTTTTTCGGCAAATGTTAAAATTCTTTTTTTCCCTGAATCCATAGGCTACCCCATTTTGTTTAATACCAAATATGTTATACCCGTTCGTTAGACTACAGTAAAAATTCGAGACAAAAAAAAGCTCAAATTTTCATAGCTGACAATGGAATTACCCCTAGTGCGACCCTCAGATTTTTTTTAAATTTTGCACATGGGCCGGACAAATGAAAGTTTCAGCCCGCACCTTTCAGGGGCGACCAAGATATTCAACGATTCTTTGCTGTCAGGAGGGCACATGAGTGGTAACACAGAAAAACTTTTTGGCTATATCTTCGCTAGTTTTGTGCGGAGATAGCTGATTTTTTGTGGAAACGGTATTCTTCATGGCATGAACAGGCACGAAACTTTTTACGACAAAATTCGTAAAAAAAGCCATTTTTTCTGGCGATTTTCACACACGCCGAAAAAGCAGAGAAAACGACCGAAATGCCAATAACTATGAACTAGGTCCCTGTATGAATAACATATTTGGTATTTAAACAAAATGGGGTTGTCTGAGGATTCAGGGAAAAAAAAAATTTTAACATTTGGATAAAAACTAAAAAAGTTATAGCCGATTCAAATCCGGCCGAAAAATTGCCGCACCCTGTATTTTTTCTTTGGGCGCTCAGCGTATTTCGCATACTCCCTCGTTCGTGAACATTGTTGAATATCCCGGCGGCTGCCGCTGCTCAAACTCTAGTATGTATTTGGTCAATTGTGGGACTGTTCCTCGTGGATTATTCCTCTCCCCTGCAAATCAAAATTCCCCGTTTTTTGAGGACAGGTGCGCGCTCTGAATTTTTGATTGCATCGTGGTAAAAATCTTAAACAACAGTTTGTTGCCGCGTAACCTTGCCTCGCAAGTATAATTTCTGCACCAAAAAAATATCTTCTGAGATGAACGTCTACCTCTTCAAGCCGGACGAGTTCAACCGGCTCTACAACTGCAGTCTGTACGATACGGAGATATTTCCGCGAGAAGAGCGTCGTCTGCGAGTGATTGGGATAATGTGTTTGTTCTCCGGGATCTTCTCAATTGTTCTCTATTTTTTCTGCATCTTCGCTATGTTGCAAAGACAACTGATCAAGTTGCCAACGTACAAGTTGATGTTGTTCATGGCCTTCTTTCATCTTTATGGATGCACTTTGGGAGGGCCTTTTATGGCGTACTTGTTCTATGAAGGGCCGGTTTACTGTGAGAGCCCGAACTTCATCTATTTGGTGGGGTCGTATGGCACTGGTAAGTGCGGAAATATCAGTCTGTCGGGAAAATAATGAACACAATTTTGCTGCGTCGATCGTGTCGCTGAAGTGAAAAGAACTGCTTTTGCCGCGACGTAATTCATTTTATCGGCGGCGATGCGATTTTCGATGCTACAGAGAGCTCATTATTTTCCCGACAGACTAAAAAAACTCCTCACTGGGAAGTGCTCAGAATTTAAAGGAACGTGGTCGAAATTTAGAATGTTTTTTCCATGAGACATACAACATTCTTAGCTCGCGTTTTTTCAGAAGCAACCGATGTTTTTAGGCCGAAAGTTGGCCAAAAAAGATGCATTTTTTATGATGCAACATTTTTTTAATGTTTACCGTAGAAGGTATTATTTACACTAAAAATTATTTTTTTTCCTACCGATAGTGGCAAAGATACGGCAAAAAAATGTTGTTTTCTCTGACCTCTCTTCTTTTTTTTATGACCTCTCGTCAACAAGGATTGTTGATTATCTCGGACAACACTGCAAAGCTCGAGCTAAAAATTTTCAGGATTTGATATGTGGTCCATGCCCGAAGTGTGTGCAGGATTTCAAATAAAAATCCTTTTTAACATTTTTACTTCAGCGACCTGGATCGGAGGCACGATTACCAGCACAATCTTGAGTTTCAACCGCTGCTGCGAGATGTACGACCACATCCTTGCCTACTGGCTTTTCGCCGGCTACCGTGTCTTCATCTGGATGGCCTTCCCGTTCACCTTGTTCTTATATGGCCTTATCTTCAACCTCCCGCTTTTGTTCAGCGGAATCGGAAAGTCTTGGTATTTCAACCCGCATTACAAGTATATCGACGACGTGGATGGTGTGTATGTCAACCGGCTACACACCTTGAACAATACTGTTACTGTTGCAACACAATTTGTGTTAAGTTTCACGTTTGCGATCCTGTATTTTGGGCGGATCAAAAGTCGCAAGACCAAGATGACAAGGACCGATAAATTGGTGAGTAGTCGTCTTTGCAGATGTCGGATTTTCTTGAAATAGCACATGGAATCTGCATGGCATACGATAGAAATAGGACAAGTTTTAGCTCAGAGTACCCGAGGGAGATAATTAATTCTGGAAACAAATTTTTTGCAGGAAATTTCATCATAGTAAAAAAAATTTAAAATTCGGGAATTTAAAAACTTTTATCCAGCTGAAACGTGGCCAAATTAAAATTTTCGAAAGCTTGTTTGTTTTTTTTTTTTTTTGGCAAACATCACCGTGATTCTTTGAGAAGAAAGACACATTTATTTCTCTGCCTACGCTCCTCTTTTTCTATGATCTCTCGTCAACAAAGGTTGTTGAATATCTTGGGTATGCGTGCAAAACATAAACTAAAACTAGAAAAACTGAGTCTTTAGCTACATGCAGGTGTTGTGTTTGTATCAAGTAACGAAAACGGAATCTTAAAAATTGCTTGAAATTCGGATTTTTTTTTAGATTTTTCTAAACTTTTTTGTTCTTTTTTGTTATTATCCACTCTAAAAGACAATAAAACTTTCAGATGTGCCTTCAAGTCTTCATTATCGGCCTCTTCGAGCTCTCCGCCGGCCTCATTTTTCTTGTCCAACAACACTACGAGCTGGGATTTGTGTTGAGTTTGTGCGCTGGAATGACTTACTTTGGGTCTCAAGGTAAAATATTATATCTCAAAAAAGAACGTTTTTTATAAAAAATTCAGTGATAACCCCGGTAAATTTAGCGTGTGCACCATATATTTATCTAATTTTCAATCGAACAATGAGGAATATAATCGTTAAGCAATTTGCGCCGTGTTCGAAGTTGAGGATAAACGTTAGTTCCAGCGACGAACCGGGCAGTGGAAATCATTAAATTTCATAAATTTTTTGCTTGAAATATCTCAAAAAAGAGCTTCAATAAACATTTCTGACAAATCTCTATATGTACAATTTGTGCAATTCTTCAATCATCGTATAAAATGTCCCTCGCAGACTGCAGGGGAGCAGTTGGGCGCAAGCTGCCGCAAATTTTTGCGGTTATTTCGAGGATAAATACAGTAAATGGTGTGTGTAAAGATGAGAGGAAAAGTTTGAGATTATTTATAAATTCATAAATAAAGGAAATTTGTATAAATTTTTAAATTATTCAAATTTTATTTGCATAAACAACAATAAAGTTCTTGACCATCATTCCACGGGGGTTTGCGATATCCGTGTCATCACAGAGCTGCTGACACTCACACTAAACGGGCTAACTCCGGAGATCCTCGTGACTTGGGAGTTCTGGAAAACATCTATTACAATATTAGGCAAAATATTTATTATAAAAAGAAACAATCGATTTTTGGGTCGAGGACATATATGCACTTCTCGACCAGAAACTCCGACTTTTAATTATCTTTCCTTTGTTTGTGAAAAAAAAATTAACATGTTTTTCCGGCAAAAAAAAGTTATAAGTACATATCAGTCTGTCGGAAAAATAATGTGGATTTGTCGCGATAGAACTTTGCCGCAGTCTCGCGCCGCTTTGCGACACTAGCCCACCGTGGCTAGTGTCGCAAACCGATGATATGACATCCCAACGACTGCACATTATTTTCCCGACAAACTGGTATTATTTTTCCACCTGGGTTTTGCAAACTCTTATATGAAAACTGAGTCATCATATTGGCAATTAGCGCCTGAGGTAGCCAAAAACTTGAGAAAATACGGGCTATCTTTGAGAAATCGCCAATTTCGGAGTCACTAGGTTACAATATACATATAATACTAAATATAATATGTACTTGTGATTTTCTAGCCCACAGAAGTGTCCATTACTCATTTTTTCAATTTTTTCCTCCGAAACTACGGTAATAGCTCACCTGCGGACCAAACATTGTCTCCTGGCCCCGAAGGAAAAAGTTTTCACTGAGACCCAACTGTTGGGCGAAGGCCCGACGGTACTCACTACTCCGCCAAAAGTAGATGTAATAATTCAGAGAGTAGCTGAGAAGGCCTGAAAAAAAAGAAGTTTATTTTAAGCTTTACAGACCAAAGTTTATTGAGTACTCACAGTAGACAGGTGAAATGGTTTTTAAATCAGAAAAAAAATTAAAAATGAATTTAGGGTTCAGCAAACAAAAAGGTCAAAAAGAGATCAGTGACACTTTTATTATAGACTTTTATAATAGATACCAAATTTTGACTCATTTTTGGCCTGATGTTAGATTTTTTTCGATCCCGCCAAAAAAGACAGCGTATTTTACAATGCGAAAATGCAATTTACCTGGTATAACCGCGTAGGTTTCGGCTTCACCAACAATTTCTTCGCTGACTCCGGCGTTCCGAAAAACGATGATAATCGCCGAACTGGCGACGGACGAAATAAAAAATCCAAACACGTTGATGCTCAACGTTTTGGCGATCCTTTTCTGCTGCTCCAACTGACCTTGTTGTCCTTTTAGGGCCTTGGGAGCTAAAAATTGGATTTTTTCAGCAAAATCGAAGCTTTTGCCGCGGAAAAATGCGATTTTTCGGAGCTAAACAGCACTTACTTAGTTTGTAGAGCATGGCAAACGTGCAGCCGTAGCAAAAAACAGTAAGAAAACAGGCAAAAGTTGAAGTGTAATTCCAGTATTCACTGACCACATCGGGCATCGATGTGGGTAGATTGCAAATTTCCAAATTTTTGTCCACCAACGTCGCAAATGACCAGAGCCAATAGGCCAACCCGTAAATTGCGGCTGGAATTGTCATCAATATCACGTATTTTTGGATCTTCCAGGTTCGGTATCTGGAAAAATTTGATTTTTTTCGTCGTTTGGGGACATTTGGGCCATTTGTCGGGAAAATAATGAGCCCTCTGTCGCATCGAAAATCGCATTGCCCACCGAGAAAATGAAGTTTGCCGTGGCAAAATCAAATCGCTTTTCACTTCAGCGAAGCGATTGGCGCAGTGAAATTAGGTTCATTATTTTCCCGACAGACTGATATCGAAATATGGTGTGTTCGAAAACTTACTTCACAGGCTCTTGAATGGCCAGTTGCCGATCCAAAGAGACCGCGAAAATCATGTAGACCTCCGCATTCTCGATGATGATATTGCCAGATTGCAGCCAAAAACACTTTGATTTCTTCATGCTGGCAGTATTTGTAACCACACGAATCCCCGAGATCCCTTCGAACATTAGGCAGGAAAAATCGCAGAAAGCAAGAATTGACAAAAGAATACCTAAACAAATGCGTCTTTGTCATCATTTTTTTTGAATAGAGAAGTTGTTATAATGTCGCTAGATCATGAAGAAACATATGAAATGGCAAGAAAGGTGGTCCAAGTGCGACGCTTAAATTTTGATAAAACTTTGGACAAACTTAGCTCGACTTTTTTTGGCTCATATGCAAAATTACCATTGAGATTTTTAGATGGAAAGTAGGCAAAAACTTCACATTTTTTTTGCAAATTTGGGCATCAAAAGTTTCATTGTTATTTCTACCAAAGAATCAGTTTTTTCCTCGCGGAACTGCCAAAAATATGGCCAAAAGGATTTCTTCTCTCTGACCGCTCTCCGCTTTTCACAGACTCTCTCGGCTGCAAAGATTATTGAATATCCCGGCCGCGTCTGCAAAGCGCGAGCTAAAATTCCGGGGATTTGATATGTGGCCTATGTCTGACGTGTATGAAAAATTTTAGAAAAATCTGAGCTTCGCATTTCTGGCACTTTCTTTGTGAAGTAAACGTCACGTTTTCTACAGAACTTTCGATTCAAAAAACGACTTACCGCACTTGTGCCGCAACGCTTTGCTCCGATACGTCGCAAAAATAATATTCAAATTGCCGAAGCCACCAACCACAGCGAAGAAGAAAATTGAGAACACGAGGACATCAGATGCCTCCATCACATAACTTCCATGCCCATAAAACGTATAATAATTAATAAAAAGGTTTTTTCTAATGTCTTAAACCTTTTGTCTCCGCGAACAGGTGACTGAATTATGTATAGGCGTAATTCGTTTAACAGTTAATATACGCGGCACTACCGAGTTTCATTCTCCGGGGGGAATTTGAAATTGCAAATGGAGGTGAAATAGGGAGGGAATGGAATATCAGAGCGGGGAAAACAGTAAACGCGGGTCGTCGCGATTTGGAATTGCCCATCATCGCTTTGCGATGACAAGCTGCAGCTAGAGATTTGGTGCGCGACATTCAAGGGAGACCAAGGTAGTTTTCACACCTCAAACATGTTTTACATCGTGTTAAAAACAGTGTCAAAAAACAATGCTTTGAATAGGGAAATACAAGCGCAGTGTCAAGACTTTTTGGCCCTCCTAGTAAAAACGGCATCAACTATTATGCTTTCATAAAGTGCGTAGACTTTTCGTACACCCCAATTTAAACACGGTGCATTTCACTTCTTCACAAGTTTCGCACAGTGCATCAAAACCGCTTTTGAATACTACAGCTTGTTAAAAAACGATCCATAAGCAACAAAAAAGCAAAATTATGCTACGAATTTCGAATTGTTTTGACTGTGCCTTTGCAGTTTTGCAATTAAATTAAGTGGGAGGCACGAATTCGGGCTTCGTGTTTGCTGACAAAAAACTGGGAGGGATAGTGTCGCCGGAAGTAAATAATAGGAAATGTGACATTGGAGAGACCAAAGATAACGAGAAAAGGGTTGAAAAACACTCCAAGAGATGCTACAAAGTTCTGAGAATTTGTCACGGCGCCGAATTCGGTCGTACTGTAAAAAACATGATTTTTCGCAGCGTTCTTGAAAAATTCATATTATTTTTCCGACATATCCGGACAGTTTTGCCCATGTTTTTGTTTTGTATCAGTCCGTCGGGAAAATAATGTGGATTTGTCGCAGAAAATTCCTTTCGTCGCAGATGATCTCTAGCTTGGCTAGATCGCAAAATTTTTTTGTTTTTTGGGTAATTCCTAGGAGCGACAAATCCACATTATTTTCCTGACAAACCGTTACGGACACAAGAGCAAAACAAGAAAACTTTAAAAAACGGTCACGTTGAAGGCTCGATTAAAAAGGGGAATTGTCAAAGTGCGACGCTGCTCTGCATGCCAATTCCTGAAAGTTTTGGCTTGCGACTTGCAGACGCGGCCGAGATATTCAACAAGAGCCGAGAGAGTACGCAAAACGCGGAGAGCGGTCAGAGAAAAAAACATTTTTTGGCCGTACCAGGCGGGAAATTTTTTTGTCTATTTTCGAAGAAAAATTTTGTGCGGAGAAAATGATTTTTATTTGTGTGGGAAACATCGCCCTATACGGCAGAAATAAGAGTGAAATTTTTGAAAAAAAATGCAAAAATTTCATTTTTGGCCGAGTAAAAAAAAAATTTTTTTTTTTGTAATCTAAAGAGAAGTTAGAAACCCAAAAATGGCTTTTTATGGGTGGATATTCCTTTCCAACACTTCATTTTTCTAGGTTCAGCAGGTAACAAGAAGTTGCGAAAGGCTTTTGCAAAAGCGCCCGCCTCATTAGCCGTCCCTTCAAGTTTCGAATGATGACATAACACAAGAAAAAGCTCCGTGGCTTTGTAGCCAAATCTGCCACAACTCAACACAAACCCCACATATATAAATTTTGTATCTCAAAAAAAGATTTCGTGCTCAAAAAATTTCATTTTCCTACAAAAAAATTAAGTTAGATTTATTGAATAAGTGTCGATAAATTAATATAAACTGATACATTCGCTGACCTCGCTGGCTCTCCTGACTTTTATCACATGAGTGTGGTCTTTGTTTTCCGCTACTGGGATCTCCAATGGCACCATTCGCTTGTAAAACACTATCCATAATGTGATCACCGAGAAGATCACCACCAATTCCAGACCCCATGCCGCTCTGGGACCCCAGTTCGAATAGAGATTACTGAAAATGGCAAAAATAATATACGAATTTAAAGTGAATGATTTGAAAAACAGTTTCTAATGAGATTTCATGGCATAGCGATTTTTGGACGAAATGTCACAAAAATTATTGGAAAATGAAATAGGGTCTGTGGGCTTCAGATTTTGGTAAAAACTCAGCCATATTATTGAGAATATGATTTTTATAATTTTTAAAATTTTTAGATCGCATTCATAAACAACCAAGATATTTAAGCCTAAACTTGGCAAAAATCTGAAATATTTTATGCACGTTGCAAAAATGTTTTTGTGCGTTACGCCAGATGTCCACGTACTTGGTGAAAATCTCAGTCTGTCGGGAAAATAATGAGTGCAATGTCGGTGCGCCGATCGTGTCGCTGCATTGAAAAACAATGATTTTGTCGCGACACACCTCATTTTCTTGGCTGCGATGCGATTTTCAATGCGACAGAGTGCTCGTTATTTTCCCGACAGACTGACGCCAATAGCATTCAAAATCCCTCACCTAATCACGATCGGGCCCATCAACCGCGACAACGATCCCGACGCCTGATAAATGGACTGTTGATTGGTCTGTTTCCTTGGCCCCAAAATCCGCGAAAACAGCGCGGACACGTGCACGTTCAGCGTCGAGAACGCGAACGCCAACACGCCGGAGAAGCAGAACATGAACAGCCAGAAGTTGACGGGCTGCACCTCGTCGCACCAAGACATCAGGTCGCGCGGACACCCCACCGGCTCCTCGGCGACGGTCCCATTCCTGTACAACTCGTAATCCTCGTTGGAATACGTCTTGATGTGGTCGTTGCTGAAGGGGTAGGAGAAGGTGCCGACGTGGAATAGCACGTAGGCTGCGAGCGCGGTGAACACGCCTACGCGGTGGTTTGGACTGAAAGGAATTTGGGTTAGATTATAGGCCCATCGAAGGCGTCTAGGAGGTCTTGATCACCAATCGAGACCTCTCTGGCAAAGGTTGAAAAACATGGCAATTTGTTGCGAATTTTGGCATAAAAATTTTAAGCTATATATTTCTACTGTAGAGGGAAATATTTCCACAAAATTTTTTTTTCCGCGCTGTGACTCATGCTCAAGGCGCGTGCAAAGTTTGAGAAAAATCCGAGCATCAGTCTTGATCACTCCTATATAAATTTGAGGTCTTCTGATGTACAGTGTGGGACCTGATCCAGTGGCAAAAAACGTACCATTTTGCATCCGGGAAGTATCAAAAAAATGCAGCAAAATACTTCCCTCTCCAAGTGAAAAAACACCGATTTCAAAAGCGCGCCCGGTCTTTTTGTGAGCGAGAGGGCGCGACCTTCAAAACGGAGCTCTTTTTTTAGTTGGAGAGGGAGACATTTTGCCACATTTTTGATACCTCCCGGATACAAAATGGCACATTTTTCACCATTGAATCAGGCCCTCAATGTACGAGGGAAAGAATCCTTGTGAGTTGTACGTCACATTACATTAAATTTTGTATTTTTTGAAAAAGATTTGACTACGAAAGCTTTTTTAAAAAGGAATTGCAACATGACGAATACTACAACATGGCGAATACTACAAAACATATTCAAGGAAGTGAATCTTTGTGCACTTTGTCTATACATTGTTCCATCATATAAGATGTAAGATTTTTTAGCCTTTGAATCCTCGCTTTAACTCACCTTTGTTTGAAGACAATATAGAACAAATAGTTGGTGAAAGCGACCAATCCAACGATGCCATGTGCAAGAGACATGGTCCTAACGGTTTCCGGTCGACTCATCGCAAACATAGCCATGAAAAATGGGGCTCCAAGTCTAGAATGAAAGAATTTACCGCGTATTTTACCTCTCAAGTCACCTACGTCTCCAAATTCGTGAATACGAACAGCTGCATGGCCCGGGAAATGTGACAAACCGCCACCGCCACTCTGTCGTAAGGCGGAATCTCCACCGCATTCCCATCTTCATCGCTCGTCTGCGACTTCATTGCGCTGTAATTCTCGTCGAAAAAGAGAATCACAGAAACAATACAGAGAATGTTGATGATGGCCGAAGCAAAGGCCGGAGTTGTGTACATACTGAGATGTAGGTTGCCGAATAAGTGAACTCCCGGATAGCCGATGGGAATGAAACAGAGTTGGAACACTGAAAAGTGTCTTAAAATGTGGTAGCTTCTTATTTCTGGGGTATTATACTATGTAAGTTGTTGAGGAATTTTCAGATTTTTGGCGAAATGTCACAACACATAGTAGATAAATTTCGATTAAAAGATGCCATTGAAGAGTAGAAATTTTTGTGAAATACGAAAATTCTTTTTTTTGATCAGTTTTTTTTTATTTTTGACCGATTTTTGAGTTTTAGACGAAATGTCAAAAAAACTGTTGGGTAAATTGTTATGACAAAAATATGACAAAACATAGGCAAAATGGAAAAAAGTGTTGGTTTACAAGGCGCGGTTACTTTCGACAACTTTTTACTGCAATATCCAACCATTTTTCAGATTTTCGACGAAATGTAACAAAAATTATTGATTTTTTTAAACCCTCGAAAATCTAAAAAAATTGAAGAATAGTTAACACAGGCAACATACACGGTCCTATGCTTAATCCAAGCGCCAAACCACCAGTGCAAACAGCAATCGCCCGAGCTCTGTCCTTCTCCAGACTGGCCGTGGAAACATAGCTTTGAACAAGCCCCATGCTGGCTGAAAACAAGGGAATAAATAATGCAGCTTTTCTAAAAGTCTTGATCTTGATTGGCCTCAAGTTTCATGAAAATTTATGGTAAAATTTATTCGTTTTGAGAAACAAAATAAAAATCCAAAAAACTGATGAAAATCATAATTTTTTGGCCGAAAATCGGTAAAAAGTTTACAAGAAACAATTGAAAACTCTTGTCAAAATCATCTTTGAGAAGGTACGTTGCAATAATGAACCCAAAAAGCGCAAATTATATCGATAAAAAATCATTTTGCACTATATTTTTGATGATTTTTTGCCTTTTTTCCAAAGGCATATGCTTTAAAATGGATGACATTTTTTTCTAAAAAAATCTAAAAATCAAAAAAATATTTTTTCTGCTATTAAGTACATTATACGGGGACTTCATCCCACTGCCACTCACACTCTCCAATCCCCACAAAAAGCCGTCCAAACAGCAGGGCGTAGCGTTGATTTGAGGGCAGCAATGGTGCCGAGAAATACACCAAGTTCCCCAACAACATAAAGCACTGGCAAACGAGGATCGGCAACATTATACTGCCGCGTTTCGTGCTCCACAGCCCATACAACGGGCCGGCGATCATTTGGCCAAATGAGAATGAGGCCACAACTAGGCCAAAAAAGGTTTCGGTGGACCGAGGGTCCAACTAAAATATGGTCGAAAAATTGAAAAGTTGATAAAAAAGTTGGTAAAACCTGATTTTAAAACTGAGAAAAATGTCCTACCAGTTGCATATAAGGCCACATGGAGCTGAAAAATAGAGAAAATTGGACTGCTTGGAAGAAAAGAACCGTCGTTGTGATGCAAATTGAGAGCCATGGTGTTCGAATGACGTCATCGTGTTTGCCGAGTTTGTTCAAAGCCTTGGAAAACATCCTGCAAAAGACTGTTTGTAGCAGCGTTAACATGGATTAAGCGAAAATTAGACAAATTAGACAAAAAATTTGCAATAATTCGATGATTTTAGACGAAAAATGGCAAATTTGCCAAAAATTGAATGAAAAAATCGGTGAAAATTGAGGTCATTTGGAAAGAGTTGACTTTTAAAACCCTGCACATCAGATATTTCGATCGAAAGCCATGCGAAAAATAGCAAAAAACCAAAAAAATATTTTTTTTTACATTTAGGATGTTTTTCAAAAATCAGTGAATTTCGCTCAAAAAATCGGCAGAAATTTTGTCGCTTTGTGCTCAAGGAACTATAAAATTAAAAAAGCGGATATTAAAACCAAAAAACAAGATCAAAAATCAAGCAAAAATCTAGATAAAAACGGATATTACACTAGTCAATAGATCAAAAACAAAAAATCTTTCAATTCTATCCAAAAAATGTTTGAAATCAAAATTTCACAGATAAAATACAGCCCACAACAGCCTTTTAATCATCCTCGAAGAGCTTATAAGTGCTAACCAACCTCCAAAAACGCTGCAGACTAAAAAATTCTCCTTGCATCATCATCTAAATTTATATGCAGATCCGGTTAAATACACGCTTCAATCCTCGGGTTTCGTATGGGAAACAGGATCGGCGTGGTCTGTGAAGGTTGTATTGAACAAAGATTTTTTATGGTTTGTAGTTTTCTTCAATTTCTCTGCATATTTTATATTACACATAAGTTCGGAAACTAGAAAACTAGAAGCTATCAGAGCTTGGAAAACATGGGCAGGATGCGGTTTTGATGAAGTGTAAATGAATGTACAAAGTCAATAGGAACTTTTTTCGTTGTTTTGGATAAAATATTGAAATTTCCAGGGCATAAATCATCAAAATTTTGGTGATGACTCTAGTGTAATATAATGCCAATAAACTTCTAAAACATCTTGAAAAAAATGTTGTTAAGCCCATCAATGGAGTAACCTCACCGTATTTTACCCAAAAAACCGAATTTGAAAAAATTCCGAGCCTCCAAGAAATCCGATAAATTTTGTGACATTTCGTCGAAATGCAAAAAATACCTTCCTAAATCCAGGAAAAAACAAATCAAAGAACTGATTATAGATGAAATTGGTTTGAAAATAAGTTTACTTGAATTTTTACTGGTCTAACGCGATTTTTGACACTTCGCAAAAAACCAATAACAAAATGTCAAAATTTAAATTCCATTCCAATACCTTCATTGAGACATTCGTAGATCATCGCAGTCTTCAAAAACCCTTATTTTAAGGAAAGCAAATCAAAATCCGACATTCCAATTGTAAAAATCCATTTATCTTACTTTACAGTTATGAATTCGATTACAAAAAACATAATAGGTTAGGTAAATGGCTGAGATTCGGCGGGGGTCGAAAAAAAACAGATAAGAACGGCTTAAAATACGATTATACGATTATCAATTACGCGAAATGGGTAAAGCGACGGGGTGAGTTAAGAAAAAATGAGGAAAAATCAACAAAAATAGAGGGGAAAAGTGATAATCATGATGAGTTGAGGAGGAGAGCGGGGAAAAATATAAAAAAAACTTGTGTCAACAGGCGAACAGAGTCAACAACGAATCTGAAAGTACGAAAACGAGGATGTGTTAGTTTCATTTTGGGTGTGAAAAGAGAGCAATGGACATGAACAATATATAGACATTATTGGGGCGGTCAGCGCGGCAGGGCCGACACGCTGTCGTTGAACTTGGACCGCGACGTCATGCGGTGCAGGTGGATGGAGACCGACGACACCGCGCGTCGCAGTTGCGAGTGGGAGCGGCGCAGCGCGTTGCCCGCTTCCTGGTGGTCCGCCTGGCTTCTGAAACAAGGAAAATTATAGTCTAAAAACCGCAAAAAACATATCTCAAACGTTTTTTTAATCAATTTTCACTTCAACTTCTACCTAAAACCCGCGAAAAACATACAAAAAAAGTGAAAAAATAAATAAAAATTTTTTATCGAAAATCAAATAAATTTAGTCTAACAAGGAAAGTACTTCTATGGGGTATGGAGTTACAGGTCGAGATATATATCAAAAAATTCGCAAAATTTTTCTGATTCAGAATATGTAAAAACTAGCTGCCTAATTTTGGTATGTAAGGGTGAAAAAAAACCCTCGGAACTTTTCTCGAAACACCACGCAAATGCCTTTTTGACCAAGTTTTTACCAAATACAAAGCTTGTTTTTGAGTTGCAGTAAACTCTGGTATCTTTACTAGAAATTAGGCAGCTAATTTTTGCATGTTCTGAATCGGAAAAATTTTGCGAATTTTTTGATATATGACTCGACCTGTAACTCCATACCCCATAGAAGTACTTTCCTTGTAAAACAAAGAAAAATTAATCTAACAGAGAGCCAAAAAAATAATTCAAAATATTTTTTTAATCAATTTTCAGCTCAATTGCTACCTAAAAATGTCATATAAAACAGCAAAAATGTAAAAAAAATTAAATTTTTTAATCAAAAATCATATAAATTGAGCATAAAAACAAGGCAAATTATTGTCTAAAAACAGCAAAAACCACAACTCAAAAAAATTTTTAATCAATTTTCACTCCAATTTCTACCTAAGCCCTCGAAAAAACAGAGAAAAACTTTAAAATAATAAAATTTTTTTTAATAAAAAATGCCATAAATTTATGTCTAAAACAAGGTAAATTTCCACAAAAGCAATTTTGTTATCCCAAATATTAGAAAAAAGTAATTTTTATTTAATTTAGCATCTACAAGCTTAAAAACACCTCAAAAATCCCGGAAAAAAGAAAAAAAATTGATCTCTAAAATAACATCAATTTAGCCAAAAACAAGGTAAAATCAATAAAAAATTGGCAATTTTATGCCTTCATTTACATCTCTATTAATTCTTCGCGTGAATTAGTACTTGCAAAATCAAAAAAAAAAAACATCCCGAATTCCTCAAAAAAAAAACTCAATTTTTACCTAAAACAATATAAAATTGGTCGAAAAATGAAAAAAATGCAGATGTCAAAAACTTCAAACTGGACAGTAATAGCCTCTACAACCCTTAAAAATCCTATTCTCCCTCCAAAACCCTCAAAAATCCGCAGAAAAATTTAAAATTTCCAAAAAACCCCAACTTTAAAAAAATCTCAACTTACATCATTCTTCTCATAAAATCCAAGTCCTCCGGGTCTAGAAAGTAGCCTCCTTCTCTGTCGAGAACTTCCAACGCGTCATTCAGGTTCAGTTGTCTGGTTGTGTTGGTCCCGATGACATGGACCAGTTCGTTCAAGAACACCATTGCGGCGCGGCTGTCCGTTTCACCGGCCACTTGGAAGGCGCACATCTCATCCGCCTTTTGATCGCGGATTTTCATGAAGAAAACTCCTGAAAAAATCGGTAAAATAAAAATCGAAAAATCAAAAAAAAAAATTTTTTTAAAAATATCAGATAAACCAAGGTAAAATACGAGCTTAAAAAAACGAAGTTTTTTAAAAAAAATTTTAAAAAATCTTAAAAATCCAAAAAAAAGTTTTAAAAATTCATAGATTTTTTCGCTTTTTTTTAAAAAAATTTGTGTGTTCAAAATTTTCCCACACAGCCAAAACAACCCCCAAAAAAATTCCCACCTCGATCCTGTGTGTGCAACAACAATCGGAAGCAGCTGAACCGCAAGGCGTCAATGTATTTGTACGGCTTTCTTTGGGGTGCTCGGAACGAACCGAGGAACGAATTGTTTCGCGCCAACGTTGCTCTGTTCCCGCTCATCGACATGGACATTGTCAGATTGGAGGCCGTGGTGGTGTTCAGGTTCTGCGTCGAGTTCGAGAGGCCCATGGAGCTGGTGGAGTCGCGGTGCAGGCTGGCTCGTCGGTTCTTGGCGACCTGAAAAAATCATTTCGGTGAAAAAATGGGTTTAAGAATTGAAAAATCAAAAAGAATTAATTTTTGAAAAAAAAAATAATTGTCGAAAAATCAAAAAAGACTTTTTTTTTAATCGTCAAAAAACCTTAAAAAAATATTTTTATTGTCGAAAAACCAAACAAAAAATTTAATTTTTGAAAAAAATATTTTAATTGTGTCGAAAAATAAAAAAAAAAAAAAATCAAAAAATAAAAAAAAATTTTAAATCGAAAAATCAAAAAAAACTTAATTTTTTGAAAAAAAAATGAATTGTCAAAAAATTAAAAAAGATTTTTCTAATCGTCGAAAAATCAAAAAAAAATTAATAAAAAATAAAAAAACCCAAAAAATAGAAAAAAATAATTTAAATCGAAAAATCAAAAAAAAATAATTCCCTCTGAATTCCATACTCCGTACTTTACCCAAAAACCCTATCTCAACTCAAAACAAAAAATTTTACTCACCACAACCGTGTCGTTGAAGAGGAAGAAGCTGACCACCTTCCCCTTCAATCGAGCCATCATTCCGCCGGCGCCCAGTACAAACAAATCAATTTTCTGGATGAACTCTCTGGACGATTGGACATAAGTTGTCTGAAATTTTAATTACAATTACTTTCGGCGCAAAAAAACCAAAAAAAAAAATTTTTTTTTTTGAGAAATTTTTTTTCATTTTCTCGCTAAAAAATCGATGCACACCTATAAACCGACTAATTCTGTCTTCTACTTTCTCCACGCACCTCAATTCCATCGAAAAAACCAAAACATTTGACCAAAATCTTCACAATTTATCAAAAACCCGCCAAAACAACCTAAATCAATATAAAATTCCAATTTTTCCCCCAAAAATCTCAAAACCAACTAGCCAACCATTCATCACATCCTTTTTCCAGCCCTACACTTCCTCCTCATCCCCAAAACAACCCAAAAAACCGACCGGGAATCCTTCAATATCGTTCGCAATCTGCATGAATCCCGAGTATTGGTCGGTCATTTGTCGGCGTTTGTTGGACTTGGTGAGGACCTCGTCCACGGACTGGATGGCCTTTTCCAGCCATTGGTAGTCGGGGTTGTTCTTGTCCGTGGCTTTGCGCAGCTCTTTCAGAAGCAGTATGACCGAGGGCAGTCGTTGGACGGGCCGGATCAGCATGTCGCGCAGGCTGCATTTCCTGCATGCTGGGTTGCTTTCCAGCTCCTGGAATGGACTGAATTTAAAGCAGCATCATTCAAACGCTTCTACTTTTCAATTCCAAACCATTACACCCACATTTTCCACCATTTTTCAGTCTCCAAAATTCGCCTACCTTCATAAAACTAGCGACTTTTGGGTCGAGCAAAATCGTGTCCAACGACGCCTTCGCTTGGTCGTATGAGTTCATGTACGACACGTAATGGTCGATCAGTGCATCCTTGGGGGTGGCGTACACCTGGCCCACCAGCTTGTTTTCGCGCCACTCTCGGAAGTCGCGGCCCGCCAGCGCCTTAAGCGAGCCCAAAATGTTGGAATGTACGTGGTATAAGGGTTCTATTCGCGAGAACAACGTGTTCAGATCGCGTCTCGAGACCAGATCGTCCGGTCGCGACTCCAACGGCTGTTTGAAATTCTGAAAATTGAGAATTTTCGACGGTTCTTATCAAGAATCGAGCAATATACCTAAAATCCAAAAAAAAAAATCAAAATTTAAAAAAATTACCGTAATGATAAGACTCAAAATGTCGACGTAGTTCTGCTCCGTGTCCAGCAGTTCCGTGAACACCTTGAATCTTTTAGTTTTGGGCAGCTGGCCGTTCCCATCCAGCTGATCCGCCGATCGGTCCAGAAGGCCGGATCCGCTGTTCTCGAGGTTGTCCAAAGACGACCTAAAACAACAAAAATGAATCCTAGACACATTTAATAACCTTATCCAACAATTTTAACCCCAACTTCGCGTTATATTTTATCAAAAAATCGCAAAAAAATTTGCTGCCCCGGGCGAGGATCGAACTCGCGGCCTTCAGATTATGAGACTGACGCGCTGCCACTGCGCTACCAAGGCACCTGTTCGAAGGCTCTTTCTTTCCGAGTAAGAGACAAACGGCGGGTTTTCGGACCTTGTAAAGCTGGTTCGGACCAAAAAAAAACTCAAAAATCTGTGATATGGCAAGGGGAGACCAAATTTTCATACTAGAAAAAATATTGTAGACATCATACCAAATATTTATTTACTGTTTTTTCTAAGAATTACTTCAAAAATCAGCTATTTTGCCCTCTTTTTTCGATCCTACCATAAAAAACAAAAAGAAAATCGCCGTAAAGCCTCCAAAAATCCCCAAAAATACTCACTTGGAATGAGATGAGCCGGTGACCTGACCAAACGAGGCGGCCGAGGTGCTCGCGACATTCGTCGAGGGCGCCGTGGCGGCCGACATGGGCGAGTTATTGGGGTCTGCGATCGTGTTCAAGGCTCTGCGTCGCTGGAATGATTGGGCGCTGAGGGTGTTGGCCGACTGCTCCGTGAATTGTGAGTTGGCGGTCAGGGTTTTGTTGGGTGAGATGGGCATAGGGTTGGGGTGGATGTATTCGGTGGCGCGGCGGCCAATCTTGATCGAGCGATTGAACCACTAAAAAATTTTTGAAAACCAAAGTAAAAAACCAACATAATACTATACAATTCATCTTGCACAACTGAAAACATCATTTTGCCTTAATTACAGGGGTTCCTTTAAAAACTTTGAGAGTTTTCTGAAGTTTTTGTGTTTCAAATAGCTTGTTTGAGGAATGTTTAAGTTAGTTTGTAGGTTTTATTTGTGTTTAGAAGGATTTTTGTGCCATTTTAAACGTTTTCAATGGCCACTCGAAACTACCAACCTTATTTCAGGTATTTCTCCGCCAATAATGCATCAATTTCTATAAAATTTATATCAAATTGAAGCTGAGACACCCCATTTCTTGTCCACCAAGTTTGATGTGTCTACGTTCACGGAGGCACCCGTACTGACCTTTGACATTTTTTATTCAAATTTTTGAGCCCGAAATCGGAGAAACATAGCGAACCTCATATATGTAGCAGATTTCGGGCTCCAAAACTTGGAATGAAGATGTCAAAGGTCAATACGGGAGCCTCCGTGAACGTAAACACATCATACTTGGTGGACAAGAAATGGAGAATGTCTCAGCTTCAATTTGGTATAAATTTTATAAAAATTGGTGCATTATTGGTAGAGAAATACCTGACACAAGGTTGTCAGTTTCGAGTAGCCATTAAAAACGTTTAAAATGGCACAAAAATCCTCCCAAACACAAACAAAACCTCCAAACTAACTTAAAGATCTCTCAAAAAGCAATGTGAAACACAAAAACTTCGGAAAACCCGCAAAATTTTTGAAGGAACCCCTGTAATTAGAGAAAAATGATGTTTTCAGTTATGTAAGACGAATACTCCCGAATGCCAGGAAACCCTTTAAATGCCCTTTTAAAAGTATAATCTTGAGAAAAACAAAAATCCGGTCCAAAAGGCTCAAAAATTCGGTTTAAGCAAATACCGTCTGCATCGTGATGTCCGGGGGGAACACAAAAAATCCGAAAAAAACGTCTAAAACACCAAATTTTAATTGGTAAAAATGTCTAGTGTAATATAAAAATGCCTCAAAACCTTTGAAAAAATGTAAACAAACATTCAAAGATTTCCTTAAACGCCATAATAACAATAAACAAGACGTATAACCACCAAAATTTCCATCAATTCCAAAAAAAAAAATATATTATACTAGACAAAAATCGACAAAAAACTTCAAAATTCCCTTCAATCCTGCTGAATTCCTCCCATATTTATCATTTTCTCGCCAAAATTCTCCCGTCACAACCTCAGGGTTCAAAAAAACAAGCTCGTTTTTCAGGTAATCAAGACATTTTTCGTCTTTTTGATCTTTCAAACCTTGAGGCTCAAAAAAATCGAAAAAAACCCCTTCGGGGTTGAAAGTTTTGACAACATCCCGTCATGCCGCGAATCTCCGAGAGGGATGACAAACGGATAAACGCGAAAAAACAGGCCGTTTAGGTATTCCATAACATTTTTTGGGGCAAATTAATCCGTCTTATTGTGAGAAAACCCCTCAGGGCTTGTTTATTGCATGCTCGAGCGCACTGAGCGTTATTCAGCCAACGGCAAACCGAATATTACGATTTTCGCAACAAAAAACAGGCCGTAATTTTGACATTTCGCGAAAAAATTGAGAAAAAATGAAAAATTTCATCAAAAAATGGCTAAAACAAGGTAAAAATTACCAAAACAGCCCTTCATTTGATCAAAAATAAAACAATTATTCCATTTACAAACATGTCGCGCCCAAAGAACATTGTTTTACCCTTTAAAAATACAAAAATTTTTTGAATTTTTCAAAATTTTACTTAAAACACTATAAAAGTATCAAAAATCGATATAAATCGACTAAACTCTAGAAAAATATGTATGGTAAAGTCAAAAAAATCACCCTAATTCTCATTTTTGCCCTCTTTAATGCCAATAAATACCAAAGACTCCATTAAAATCAAGATTTTTTCGAGTGCTTACCTCTGGACTAACATAAAACACCTTATCCCCGGGCCGTCGATGTTGGATGGCGGTTTCTTCGTCCGGGAACAGGACGTGTGTGGCTTCGACTTGATTTACAATAATGGCGCCTGAAAATAAAACGCAAAATAAAACTTATTTCGCCACAACTTATCTTACACATCAAGGATAAGAAAAAATCTCCAAAAAAACCGAATTTAACCTCGCTTACCATTGTCTTTCGCCATGGCTTTCAATTTTCCAATCTCATGGGGGTTACTGAATCCTTTCAACGCTATTTTGAGGCCAACAAAACATCGGAGTCGGAACTGATCGATGACGTCGCGGGGTTGGAAATTCTCGTCATCCCGCTTCGACCAGCAAAATTCCAAGAAATCCATGGATAAGATGGTGGAGTCAACACTGCAGGCGTCCTGAAACCGAGAAAAATAACAAAAAATATTGAAAAATCAGCTTGAATTTGAGAAAAATTTGAAAATCTATCTATTTCTTGATGGAAATGGATATGAAAGCAATATTTAGGCTTCCCAGTTCTTCAAATGATAATATTTACCTTCAAAAAGGCATTCATATCAAAACTATCATCAAAATCGATCTAAAAAATGGCATTTCAGCCAGCAAAAAAACATTATTTTAGGTTCAAAACAAGGCAAAGCCAAAAAAATTGAATTTCCAAATAAAAATTTCTTTCATGACTCTTTAAACTTTGGTTATAAGCAACCCCAGACCACATACTCTCCGGAAATACCCAAAACCCGGAACAATTTATCCAAAAAATTACCAAAATGACCTTATTTTTAGGCTAACACATGGTCAAAATGGCCATTTTCTTTCAAATCAACATTTTTTGTTCCTCAACCTCTCCAAACTTGCATGATATTTGGTGCAGGTGACATTGGCTGCCACTAAAATGTCCTTATGTGTGAATTTTCCGCGTGCGCTTCCGTTCATGAAGTGAATTAGGTCCACACATCGTTTCACTTCATCACCCGAGAACCCACTCATCGAAAACCGCATTCCGCGAAGGCTTTGCGTGTAGACTGGACGTCGCTTCTCGATGGTGGGGATCTTCTTATCGCCGGCACATTGCAGAATCAATGTGGGGCCCAAAATCAGACAGTCGGCTTCGGAGAGAGCGAAGAAAATCGGATCGTCGAAACGCCAACAGAGAAAGGTCACATTAGAGTCGTTGACGTGATCCGCGCCCGTGTCACTATAAACAACTTCGCAGTCCATCTTGTTCTGAAAAATTCAAGGTTTTAGTCAAATTTTTATCTAGTGTAATACAAAACATTTAAATTTTGAAAGAAAATTTGGTCAAGAGAAGTCGTACAATCCTGCAAATATCGCGAAAAACTACTTCTTTCTCCGAAAAAGGTCAAATTTGCCAATTTTTACCTAGTATAATATAATAAAATTCAAGTTCATAGCCGCAAAAGCTAACAAATAGCTTGAATATGCCATGAACGACTCAAAAATCACAAAAAGTCATCAAACCCATGCTAAAAAACATAAAAATTTGTCATTTTTCACCTACTACAATATAAATTTTTCTCAGTCACCGTCAAAAAAACTCATCCCAGACCAAAGACAAGCCAAAATTTCTCTAAAACTTGCAAAATTACAAAAAAAAACCATGCTTACCAATACATTTAGGACGATTGATCCGTTTGGAGGCATAACTCCAACCACACAAACCTTTGGCTTGACATCCACATCCAAATTGTCCTCACCACTTTCTTCTAGGACTGAAAAAACTCACTTTATAAACATCAAAGCAAAAGCTGGAAAATTTTCGTTTTAGCACTGAGAACCTATATTATCCATGGCAAAAAAATCGTACTCGGCAACGTGTTCCATCTCATTAAACTGCGCCTACTCATCTCCGGAGGCCACCACTCACCTCACCGTGTCTGACAACGAATGCCCCTGAATTCGGAGAGAGTTCAAACCTTTTCGAAATCTTCACCTACATTTTATTCAAATTTGATGGGAAGACTAAAACAACAAGCAAGAAATCAAACCGAACTCTGATAAATCGCCATCTGCAAGCTATGCGCAAACAAAAAAAGGATGTTGTCTTTGTCGGGGATAATAATTAGCACCCATCCGACGAATTCCCTCGCGTCTTGTGGGCTCAGACCCGAATAAATATGATTCAACAAAATTTACAACGCCCGCTAAGCCGTAAATATTTCCCAGCTATTCTCTACTATACTTCCGACAAATACAAGCATTATTCGCTCCGGATTTCCGCAAACCTCTCGATTCGTGGACCTTCACCTTGATGTTGTACCTAAAACCGGAAAACAATGAAATTAAACTCTCACCTGTGGGGATGTGATGTGTCACAAAATGCGACGTCCTGAACCGCTGCACGTGGGTCATGTTCAGGTCGATTACGCCTTCAAATTCTACCTGTCCATTCAAGCCTTGGCAATCCCCTAAAACATGGTCAAGTGTAAGAAAACTGGCCTCAAAACCACGCAAAAAACAACAATCGCGACGCGAACCAAGTAAATATAGTCTGCAAACAGTCTGGGTCAGCTGTAAACTGCGTCAAACAACATGAATATCCACTCGAACCCCTGCAAAACCCGCCGATTCCAAAGTGATAGGGGTCTGATCTCAAGTGCAAGACGAAATCCCTAATCTGATCGGAATTCGAAAACAAATTGGTTGGAGCTCCATTCTGGGGACAAAAGACGAATGTCGTGCGACTGATGGAAATCTTTTGTGCAAAAAATTTCGAGCCAAAAGCGGGAAAAAGCGAAAATTCGCCGATTCGAATCGCGCGAATCCCGCCAAAATGTCGAATGCGCAAATTCACTCGGTTTGGGGGTGCGCAAGGTCGGATGGTGAGAGCCAACGAGGAGGAAGTTTGGGAGAGTGACCACCTGTTGAATCATAGCGCTAAAAACGCCTGGACAGCAAGGGTTCCACCCTTTTCTTCGAGATCAGATGCTGATGAATAAGATCGCGGAATATTGATTGTTTCCTTGATGAAAACCGAGATTTTTGCGATTAATAGTGCGAATATGAGCAGGGTTTTATAATCTCAAAGTTTATTCGACAATTTCTTTGGGGTTTGGGGAGAAAAACAATAAATTATATTAACCTAGATACATCTGAATGAGCTTCCGAAAATTGCCTCCTTTTCCGGGTTTATGGTTTCAAATCCACGTAGGATTCGGAGAGAACGACTGAATCGGTCTTCAGATCCTGAAAGAACTCGATTTAGATCAACATCAGTTACAAAAAATTTCAAATTCAAGGTCAAGATGATGTTACACTAGCAGAACTTACTACCGCTTCAAAATGAATGCGGCCAGCATTCCCTTTCCACGTTTTGATCGCCAAATGAGCTCCAGGGAGGAGTGGAGCACTGAATTTGACTTTGATCGACTTCATTTTTGAGTAATCCTGCTCGGAATATTCGTTTAAAATCATTCTTGCGGCCACGCCGAGAGTGCAAAATCCGTGCATAATTGGTTCTTCTAGGCCCAAATTTTGCGAAAATTCCGGATCAATATGAAGTGGATTTAAATCTCCGGAGGCTAGACGGTAAATGGAGGGCTGAAACGATGCAAAATACATTATTGTAGAGACAAAATGTTTAATAGTCATCATGGATAATATTAGGTGAATATCTCGAACTGTAGAGCTCGGATTTGGCTAAAATTTTGCATACACAATCTAAATAGGGCTCTCATCGACTTCAATTTTTTTTACTTTCGACTTGCCGTTTCAGCGGAGAAATTTAACGATCTTTGCCGGCGAGTGACCATTAAAAATAAGGAGAGCGGTCAGAGAAATTTTAAAATTTTTGTCCTTCTCACCAAATTATCGTCCAATTCCTCCTCGAGAATTTTGTCCGGCTCCGTTTCGGGAGTTTTTTCAGTTGGAATGACGTCATTCGACCAAATCAATCCCTTTGAATTGTAATGATTGAGTTGCCATATAAGGAATTGAAGATAAGCCAATTTTTCGTTGGTCTCATTGTCATAGCAGGTGGCTAACAATAATTTTTTTTCAATATGAGATCCTTAACTTTACCTTCACACAAAATGGCCATGTGTCTTCCGCGTTGGAGCAAGTCCACGACTTGCGACTCGGTCCTGATCCCTCCTTCTTTGGGGATCGGCTTGAAGAACTCGATATATTGTTCGCCATGCAGAGTTCTCCTCAAATCGTAGCCAATTCCCGGGCAATTCTCCAGATCCAAGGCGCTCAGAGAGGAGCGGGCGCAAAATGTGGGAAAGACTTGGAATTTTGGGTGATTTTCGTAGATCAAATGGAGCTCGCGGGAACGGCGGGCTCCGACTGAAAAAATTGAAAAATTAAAAGTTCAAAATTTTGTCATGTTAGATCCAAAATGACGAAATTGGGGCGTCAAAAATCAAAAAGTAAGATAATTTTAAAAAATAAATTTTTGAATTTTTTTCGACCTGCGCCCGACCTTCAACTTGAAACTGATTAGATTTTGATGAAACTTGGTACATTCTTAGACTAGGATTTTATAAGACACACTAGAGATTTCGCTCTCATGCTTTGCCAAAACAAACCGAGATTTTTTAATTCGAAAATTTAAAAATTTAAAAAAATTTGGGAAATTTTTTTTTATTTTTTTTTAAGTTCTTAGCTCTGCTAGGCAGAGACAATTTTTTCAACGATATTTAGGGCCAAACCTAGACTCATAAGCCAATTTCAAGTCAACGTAGGGCGCAGCTCGGAGAAAATTTTTTTTAAAATTCTGGCCAAAAAACCGGAAATTATAAAGTCAATACATATTGCTACATCTGTAAAGACCGTTAAAAATACTAGAGTCGTCTTAAAAAATTGTAATCTAAATCTTTATCAAGTTTCACCAAAAAAAAATTAAAAAATTTTTTTGATTTTTCCACTTTTTCCTCTCTAAACTCACTTCCAATGGCATAGTAAATCGCCTCTTTGGCCCCATGCTCCTCCACCACAGTCTCCCTCTCCCATTCCGGCAGTCGTTTCAGGTCATTCAATTCGCTCATTTTCACCAATCCCGCTCCCAGCGGTCGTCCAGTCGAGTAGGGAGAGCGGGCACAACAGATGACTTGCGAGGGAAAAACCCATTCCAAAACGCCGCGTGATAAGGCTGGAAAAATCTTGAATAATGGGGCGAATTATGGGCTGACCGCTTCTTATCTTGTTACAAAAATGTTGATAAATTGGTGATGAATCGTAGAGAGAAAAAAGGTGAAAAACAGAGGCAACTTACTCATTTTTTCGAAGAGAATATACCACACGATAAAATTTTGGGATCGAAAATAATTTTTTTGGATTTTTGAAATTTTCAAAATAAAATTTGCATAAATTTTGGATGAATTTTTTTGATGAAAAGGTCAACAAAGTGTAATCAATTATTAAAAAAATTGTTATTTTAAAAAAATTATTAAAAAAATTTTTTTCTTTGAAGTTTTGGAAAAGGTTCCTTATTCTGGGGCCAATGCGCTATCTGAAAGTTTGCTGAAAATTTTAGGGCGCAGCTCGGAGAATTTGCACGGGCGCAGCTCGCGTCTTGGGCGCAGCTCGAAAACAAGCGGAAACTTAGCTCCGGCGAACTGCGAAACGTTGTTTTCCGAGCTGCGCCCTACCATTTTCAGCTAACTTTCAGCAAACTTTCAGATAGCGCATTGGCCCCTGGCAACAACAAAGGTACTCCGCGAACTGCGCCCAAGCTTGGGCACTAAAGTTGGGAAAAAACGCTTCGACCTAGCTGGCACTGAATTACTATAATAGCTCTATAGTTTTAAGGGTACCTACGAAGGCTGTGACGACTCATTTAGTTCCATACGGAGGCAATGAGTCTAGTTAGTGTAAAATCAAGGCTACAGCCGTTTTTGAAGGGTAAAGTGGTACGTAAAAAAGAAGGTACCTCGCTAACTCAATCCACTGTTCGGGCATTGACAACGATGAATGGAGCGTGTAGGCTAAATTTGGGCTAATTCCGACCAGTTTCCGCAAAGTTATAAGTTGTGGCCAAAATAAGGAACTTTTACCGAAATTTTATTATTTGAAAAATTCTAAAAATTTACATAAATAGAAAATGTAAAAAAATCAAAGATCTACCGATACGTAGCGCAGAGCAGGCGGATGCCAAAAAAAAGTTGTGCCCACGAGGCCTGGCAAAGTCGTCGGATGGTCGGCGGACGCTCGGCGAAGGCTCGGCGGAGGCTTGCGAAGGCTTGCAGTATATGTCCACTTTTTCTGATTTTGGATATTATGAGCGTTAGTTTTCTTTACCATGAGTTATTGGAAAAAAGAACAAAGTTTGCGGCAAAAAAACGAAGATCCGTAACTTTTGCCTAGATATTATTGATGTGAGAACATGTAAAATATACCTCAAAATATTATAGGTGATAAGCTATCCTAGGACCCGACTTTTTTTTAAATATTTTTATAAAAAAATCGTTCTCAAAATTAACAACGATTGCTATTTACACAACAAAAAATAATTTCACAATCAAAAAAATCTCGTTTTTTCTCAAAATTTCACATTGATTCGATCCTTTTCGCTGTCCTTTTTCACCTCCTCCAAGCGCATTTTCTCCATTTTTTCTTCGATCGGTACCAAATTCGGATAATTCCAAATCCACAACCCCACAAAGATCACACAAATCGCGGCCTCCGTCGCCCAAGCGTACCGAATCCCCAAATAGCTGTACAAATTGCTGATCAACAACGGCCCGCTGAGTCGCCCGACCGAGCCCATCATCTGCAGAATGCCTTGTTGCGTTCCCTGCCGACGAGGGCCAATCACGGACGAGAAGATCGTATTCATCGTGATGTTGATCAGACAGAAACAGGAGGTCATCAGAAGCGCGAACATGATGTAGTAGAGGTAGATGTTGACTTGCGGAGTGTATTCGCACCACGGAAGATGGTCCACGTTGCAGCCTAATGGCTCGATTTCAAGGGATTCCATCTCCTTTGCCACTGAAAAAAGAGGAAATTGGGAAAAGTTCTTTGTAAAAAAAATTTCTATTTTTAGAAAAAAATATTTTCAAATTTTTAAAAAAATTGTAAAAAATAAAATTTTTTTTGTGGAAAAAATAAAATTTTTTTTTGCACAAAAGTGTCGAAAATAAAAAAAAATAATAAAAAAAATCGAAAAATTTTGAAAAATAAAAGTTTTTTTGAGATGAAAAATAAAATAAAAATCAAAAAAAAATTATTTTTTTAATTATTTTTTTTGTAAAATACGGAAGAAATCTTATATTCAATTTTTAAAAATTACAAAAAAATATGACAAAAAACTTTAGAAATAAAAAAAATCATAAAAAAACTAGTTTTTTAATTATTTTTTTTTGTAAAATGCGGAAAAAATCTTATTTTCAATTTTCAAAAAAAAAAAAAATTAAAATAATAAAAAAATTCAAAAATTAAAAAAAAATATATAAAAAAAAATCCACTTACTAGTCTCATTGTACATCACCAATTTGTTCGGCAAGAAGGGCCACGGGAAACTGATGACATAAAAAAGTCCGATCCCAACGAATGCCAGCAAACAGACCAGCCGATTGTTGATAAACCGATCCAATTTGCACCCAACAAAACTGATGTACATGGACAGCTCGAGGACCGACATTGCCCCGTGAACAAGAGCTATCAATGTTACGGCGTCGCTTCGCGACAACGCGAACATTGTCATTGCAATGGGCGCCGAAAGGGTTTCCACCGAACTAAAGGCGAACATTTGAGCGAATCGCGTGAAATAACACATCCAAACACCGCGAGTGTCGGCTGGGATGAGTTTCAGGTTCTGGCTGGACTTCTGGAATTTTATAAAAATGATTTTTTTGAGTTTGGGAAATTGCACGGTGCATACAAATTTTTTTGCACAGTGCAAAATTAAAAAAATTTTTTTTTGCCTTATCCGGAAACAACATTGAATTTGCATAATGAAAAAAATGCACAGGGGAAAAATAAACTTTTTTCTCAAATTTATAAAAAATTTTTTGAATTAGAAAAATTGCACCGTGCAAAAAATAACAATTTTTTTTGCACAAAATATTCCGCACAGTGCCAAAAATTGCACAGTGGGAAAAAATAATACTTTTTGAAATTGAAAAAAAAATTTTTTGCATTAAAAAATTTCCGCACGGTGCAAAAAATAAAAAAAATCCGTTTTTGTTTTTTGTGTCCAAAAACTCAATAAAACTTGGACGCTGAAAAAAAAATAAAAAAAATCGTTTCGCACAACGCAAGAAGTAAAAAATTTCGCACTGAACAATCGCCTCCAAAAAATTAAATACAGCCTAAAAATTTCTAGCCTTTCTTCGGATGACTTACGCTATCCAACAATCCCGCGTAGACCTCTTTGAATACGAAGCCCATCAAACACATTGCAGTGATGTTGACCAAGCACACAGCTAATGGAGGAGTAGTGTACATATTCAGAGCAAACCAAGAGGTAATTCTCCATCCTTTTTCACCAATTGGCGTGAAAATGAGCTGAATGGCTGAAAACAGTCAAATAAATTTTTTTCGAGCTTGTTTAAGCAACCAAATTTTTAAGTCTTTGTGGGTCAAAAAAGATTAAAAAAACGTATAGCTCTGCATTTTGTGGCAAATTTTTTTCCTAGACTGCACAATGGGAAGTAATTTACTCTTTTTCGATTATAAAAATTGTAAATTTCTGTCAAAAATCTGAAATTTTACCCAAAAAAGAGGTAAAACTTGCTCAGCTAAGTGCTCCCAGTCCAACTTTTTGATCTTTTTTAGATTTTGTACACACGTCGGACATAGGGCCTATATCAATTCTTGAAAATTTTAGCTCGCGCTTTGCAGGGAGGGCCGAGATATTCAACCATCCTTGCGGCCGAGAGAGTATGCGAAGTTCGGAGAGCGCTCAGAGAGAAAGCATTTTTGGCGACATCGTTGCCAATTTCGTTCGGTAAAAACAGATTTTTTGTGGAAAAATTGCTCTCTACAATTAAAATAAGCGTAAAACTTTCCATTTTTCCTCTCAAAATTCGCAAAAAAATCATAAAATTTCCCGACCTTCCATCTAAAAATAAGAAATTTTTGGCCAAATAAGCATCTTGTGGCCAAAGACAGCATAAAAAACCCTAAAAAATCAAAAAAATCTCACCTGGGCCAACAATTAGTCCCAATGCCAGTCCTCCAGTAACCGTCGCGATCGACCGCGACCGGTCTTCTTTTCTGCTAGCCGTCGCTGCATACGTCTTGAGCAGCCCAATGTTGCCTAAACAATCAAATAATTTTGGGTTTTACAACGCCAACTCACTAGCTCCAAGCCCGCACAAAAATCGACTGAATGCCACGGCGTATTTGCCATGCGGCGCTGGGAAGGCTTGAGCGAAAAGATAGATAAAGTTTCCGGCCATTTGCAATGAGATTGCAACCACAACCGGATGCCGGATACTTTTGATTTTGTTGCTCCACCAGCCAAGAGGTGGAGCGAAAACGATCTGGCCGAAGGAGTAGATGGCCACGGAGAAGCCGAAGAATGGCTCCGTGATGTCGGGGTCTAGCTGAAAATAAGTCATTGAAGGTAAGTTTTATAAGTCAAATTGAGGAATCTGACCGGTCAAAAAGCCCAATCTGACCGGTCAAGTGGGCCATATATGACCGGAAAAACTAAGCTATATGACCGTCAAATACCCGGTCTGCCCAGAAAAATTCATCATGTTTGACCTTCTGGCCCATATGGGAAGTGCTCAAGGTGCGACGCTCGGATTTTTATGAAACTTGGCACAAATTTAGAAAAGTTGTTTCTATAGCAAGTGAGGTATTTATTTATAGGTCGTGCATTGCAGAAACGACCAAGATTTTTAGGCCGAAAGTTGGCAAAGATTTGGCGATTTTTTCTCAAAAGTTTAATGCTTTTTTCAACTCGAGAGGGTGATGTTTCCACAAAAAATAAATTTTTTTTCCATGCGAAGCAGACAAAGATACGGCCAAAAGGTGTTTTTCTCTGACCGCTTTCGGCATTTTGTGCACTCTCTCAGCCGCAAAGATCGTTGAATATCTCGGCTCCCTATGCAAAGCGCCAGCTGAGATTCTCAAGAATTAATATGTGGTCCATACCCGAGATGTGTGCAAAGTCTAAAAAAAATCTAAGCGCCGCCCTTTGAACACCTCCCTTGTCAAAAACCAAGAACACTTGCAACATACCCTCTGCAGATACGGCCACATCGAGCTGAAATATACGCTGAATTGGGCTGCCGTGCACATTGTTAGCGCCGCAACAAGTCCTATGGATAACCATGGGGTCTTGTCGGTGAATTGGGACGTAGACTGTTTACTGCAAATTGAGTCCCGGAAGGATCTGATGCTCTGATGGTCAACATCCGGATCATGCGAAATTGCCATTGTGGATCAAAAATTTCAAATCTAAATGGCTTAATTAGTGTTTACAGATTTATCTAGAAATTATTTCGGTCGCGAAGTGTGGCTTGGGACTTACAAGTCTTTGTTTGTCCAGAAAATGTGTCACGATGACACTCATTAAAATGAGCCAGTGGTAAAAACAATGGCTGTACATGGCTAGGAGTACTCCTTAGAGCACACAAGAAAAAAATTAGGGGCGCTGTAAAGGTTCTCGCTATGGAAAAATTTTTAAAAAATCCAGAAAATCCGTCATCCAAATTTCGTATTGCAAAAGTTTTGAACCTAAATTCTTTTGTGGGTACTCTAGAAAGTACTCGAAGTCATAAACAGCGGTTGTTTATACCACTGAGACTTCTTAAAAGTGTGTCATCGTGATATATTTTCCGGAACCCAAAGATTTACAAGTCAGATGCTTATGTCATATCGCAATATAATAAAAAAAAATCCCAAATCTACCTTTAAAATTTCCGAACTTCCCGGATTCAACTCTTCGACTCCCGGGAACTAGTGCAGACGGGCCGCCACGCCGCTTTAAACCCGCATGCCTCGAGGGGTTTCCCGTATTTTGTGGGCCATTTACATAATCCGCGAAGGGTGATCGATGCTCGCTGTGATCGGTGCGTTATTCTGGTGATAAGTGTTCAACCCAACGCACACTAGTTTGTGCCCAGCGTTATCATCAACTTGGGTCGAACTTGGAAGTGTGATACACTGATAACAACGACTTTAGCCGTTGTTTTGACAGTCGGGATGAAAAAATGTGACAAGAATACAAGATACAAAAAGAGGAGAAGGAGGAGGAAGCAAGAGGTTTCACTAGTTTCAGTCTGTCAGGAAAATAATGTGGATTCATCGCGCCTTAAGATCGCCCATCTTTGTTTGCGACGGTTCAGTCCGGCTGGGGCTTTGAAAAGTCATTGCAAAGACCCGGGGCATACTGACGTGAAATCCACATTATTTTCCCGACAGACCGATCATTCGCTTTTTTACGTGATCAAGTTTCTTTTTGAAATCAAATATCCGTTGACTCGAGTCATTCCGTACTTTTATCAATAAAGACGTCAGAACTGTTCATCTAGAGATTCCTAATGTATGGTCGTTAGTATAGAGACATTGTGACCATAATCAACGCTAATCTTAAAAAAAGTTTCGACATAAAAGTCGGTTTCGAAAAAAGGTTTGTGAAAACATCAAGAAGCACTCAAACTCGACAGGTTTCCCGCTAAAAGTGTCAATGTCAGCCGCTGGTGAAACTTCCTTTTTCCGGCCCCAGAAAAAATAAGTTTTTGCAGCTTGCGCCCGAACAATACCGGTTGCAAGGAATGTCAGGCTTAAGCAGGTTAGGCTAAGCCTTAGGCTTAGGTTGTTTCCCATTTTTATTCGTGGGCAGGGAAACCAGGGCGCAAGCTGCGAAGCGCTGGCCAGGAAAAGGAATTCTTTACCAACCACTCTGTTGTATCGGATTCGTAAAAGTTTTTTTATTTTCATTCACAAAAATTTTTTTGACCAGCCGTTTGGTTATTTTGTTAGTGCTATATCAGTCTGTATGGAAAGTAATGAGCACCATGTCACATCAAAAATCTCATCGCCGCCGAAAAAATGAATTGTGCCTCGGCAAAATCAAATTGCTTATTATGCTTCAGCGGAGTGATTGGCGGAGCGACATTGCGAGCAGTATTTCCCCGACAGACTGATATTAGAATACACCAGCCGATCTTACCGGGCCTGCTCAGGTCTGTCTTCGACTGGGCAGTTCCGAAAGCAATTTAAACCGGGCAAAGCTGCAATTTCTTGCCTGGCATCCATGCTCCTCTTCAAGTCATCATTTCTTTCTTTCTACTTATCTTGTACCACTTCTTCGCTTTGATTATTGTATACGTTTTTTAATAAAGCCTCAAGGAAAAACTCGACAGTGACTGTTTGCCTTTTTTCCCTCTCCGATATGACTAATCCAACCAGCCCAGGAATTTGAGTTTTTTTTTGCTAAAACAAGAAAAGAGAACGGAATTCCCTCCACCTTTCTTATGGCGTAAATTTTGCGTTTATGTTTGTGAAATGCGAAAACCTTGTGTTTTATTGATTATTGCGATTTTTACGGACCTTATTTATTCACAAGGTGAGTTTTGAATTTTTTTTGAGTTGAAATAGGTTTAAAAATCGGCTTAGACATTCAAAATCTTGGTTAAAATACGTTAAGATCAAAATATCCGATTTTTTTCAATTTCCCGGCTTCTTTGGCATTCTGTTTTTCTGCAACTACGATTTCTGGATTGGCCAAAAATTATACACACATGCTGCGAAACGACTACGTATTAATCTCTGAAAAATTCAGCGTTAACTTTGCAGTCGTTGCCGAGAAATTCAGCAGCTGTTTTGGCGAGAGAGCAAGGGAAATGAGGAGGCCGGCGGTGGGAAAATGTTCCACAGCACTTGCGCAACTCGTGGCAAAAATGTCTTGAGAATTTACCGCGGCCCCGAATCTGGCAGAAAAATGATTTGTCGCTGTAAAAAATTGGGAATCCGCGGCGTAAGGCGAAAAATTCAAAAAGCATTGATTTTTCGCGATTTTTGCTTTTTGCTTCAAGTTTCAGTTTGTCGGAAAAATAACGGTGGGTCATCGCGGCAAAATGCTTAAGACTTGTCGAAAAAGTGGTGAAGTCGCGCATCAAATTTCCAGCTACTAGCAGTTGAAAAGCGATGTTAGGCGATACCATGGCGCAAGGACTGCTTTTCCGACAAGCTGAGAGTTAAAAAAGAGTAAAATTTTCAAGCCAAAAATCGCAAAAAATCAAATTCTTCACAAATTTTTAACTTATTTCCCCATATTTTAGACCTTGAAGCCTCTCCGAAATGTTTTGTCTGCTCCAAAGGCAAAGACGAAGATCTGAACGAGCTCATGGACAATTTTAACGTCCATTTGGGATCAAATATTCGAAATGTAGCCTTCAAGCAGCGCTCCGAAAATTGTGGAGGAGGCAAAGAAGCTCCACAAGAATTGCTGGTTAGTTGCTCAACTTCCTGTGCAATTGCCACTATTCACAATATTACCGAGGAAACAGTGATTGCTGGATGCGCGGCGAAGAAAATTACTCGAGAAGTGAGTGAAAAAAAAACCAAAAGATTAAAATTAAAAAAAATATTATTTTTTTTTTGATTAAAAATTTTTTAGGAATCAATAGTTGACACTTATGTCAGCCGAATTTACATCCTTGAAATGTGCACCACCGACGGTTGCAATGACTTAGTCCGTAAGCCCGATTATTTTTATTACTTTATGAATTTAGGCGGCCTGGCTAACCTTTTTCGACCCGCTAACTTGGTGATATTAACAGGGATTTTTATATTAACAGGTTTCTAAATGCATTCCCACAAATCCCTGGCCGAATCTTACCTTTTTATTATTGTGAAGTGCTCCATGTGCGACGCTCAGATTTTGATAAAACAGCACAAATCCAGAATAAATTTTTTTCTCAATAAGAAATGCGAGATTCCTAGTTTGCGCTTTGCAGAAACGACGGAGGTTTTCTACAGAGAAAATTGGCAAAAATGTGAGAAATTTTTGAAAATTTTTGCATGAGAAGTCTTGTACCGACTTGCAGTAGCTTATAAATTTCCCACAAAAAATAAACATTTTTCACACGAACCTGGCGGATTATGGACTCTCTGCGTTTTGCGTGCTCTCAAAGATGGCGCGAGCTAAAAACTTACAGGAGAAGTACTCCAAGTGCGACGCTCAGATTTTGATGAAACTTGGGACAAATTTATAATAATTTTTTCTAAGATATATGCGAGAATCCTAGCTCGCGCTTTGCAGAAACAACCGAAATTTTTAGATCGAAAGTCGGCCAAAATTTAGGACTTTTTGCCGATTATCGGCACGAAAATATTCATGCCTATGTCTACTGTAAAGGGAAATGTTTCTACAAAAAATCAAATTTTTCCGCACGAAACTGAAAAAGTTATGGCCAAAAAGCGCTTTTCCCTCTGACCGCTCTCCACGTTTAGCGTGCTCTCTCGGCGGCAAAAATCGCTCGATATCTCGGCGGCGCCCGCAAAGGGCGAGCTAAAACTTTCAGGAATTGATATTTTGTCCATACCCGACGTGTGTGAAAAATTTAAAGAAAATCTGAGCGTCGCACTCTTGGAACCTTGTCGATAAACTTGCGTCGCACTTGGAGTACTTCCCCTGTTAGTAAATGATATGGGGCCTTGGCCTGACGTGTGTGCAAAGTTCAAAAAAGATCTGAGCGTCGCGCTCTTGGAACCTTGTCGATAAACTTTTTGTCTTGTTTTATGTTTATAATAAAGTTTAAACAAATAAATTGTACATATAATTCCGACCCAGGTCGTGAGCTTGGTCATGATCTTGACGTTTTTTTTGCGAATTTGTCACCAATTTTTCCTACAAAAAAAACTATTTTTTCACTTTTTCATCATCAATTTTTACATTTGAAAACAGTTTATCATTGAACAATAAAATCTTTAGCACAACTGAAAAACAAAGAAAAAATATTTAAAACTTTACAAGATATAAATGTTTGGACGTTATATCGGAAGGAATTTGTTAGAATCGGACGAAGCGAAGGTAGTAAAATGAGTATGGGGGGAGAGTACGGTAACAAAACAAAAAGTGAAAACCGAATGCACCGGATTCGAGAAAACACGTAGACACGGAAGACGGAGTGATTTTGGATGGAAAAACAAAAAAAAAACAATCGAAAAAAGATCGATTTGTTTTTGGAAACTCGCTATGAAAATATCTGTTTACAACTTTCGGAGTGATTAAGGTAGTTGAGATGTTTCGTTAATGGGATCATCGAGGAGAAAAACAAGAGCAGAAAAATGGTTTACAATGTGTAAAGAGTTGGACTACATGATTTCCTAGTCAAAAATTTGGAGAGAAATCTATTGAAATTTTTTGGGGAGAAATCGGTTTTAAAGGCTTTTAAATTAATTTTAATCGATTTAAAATGATATAAAACCGATAAATTCCCTAGTAAATCGACCTAAAATTGGCTTAAATAGACGAAAAACGGTCGAAATCGACCCAAAATCATGTGAAATTGGCGTAAATGGGCGAAAAATCGCGAATTTGATTAACATTTGTATTTGGCAGACCATGGACGGATGGCTGAGAAGTTTTGCGGAGGTCGTCGGACATGGAATCGACCGCTCGAACGCGCCTAATAGACCGGCTTCACCTCGTTGAAGATGTCGCTGCTGATGTCCATGCGGCTTTCGGACTTGGGGTCACTGCCGGCGGTCAACAGCCGCTTGCATTTGGCGCGTCGGTTCTTGAACCAGATCTTGACGTTGTGCGTCGAGATGGGTGGGTAGTTCTGGCGGTAGGGGAGGCCGTTCAGGCTCTCCGTGTACTGCTCGATCTGCAGCCAGCCCGGATGCGGGTTCTCTTCGAACCAGCGCTCCAGAATGGGCAGCTCGCTTAGCGGGTCGAACATGAGCCGCGAGCGGGCCTGCGTCTGACCCGAGGCGTTGTTGGAGCCAGCCGGCGTCGATTGGCGAGGCGCACTCGACGACGTACTCGTCGAATTCGCCGTCGACGTGTAGATTAGACTGTTCAGCGCCGAAGAGGGCGAGACTTGGCTCTGCGCGGCGGCGGCGGCCAACTGTTGCGCGAGTTGGTTAGAGTCGGGCATGGTGAAGTTGTTCATGCCCATCGGCATCAGGGATTGGAGAGCGGCGACGGCGGCGGCGGCGGCTTGGGAGTTGAGGGATGAGGTAGAAGTGGCGAGGGCTTGGGAACCATGCTGAGGCGAGCAGTCGTTCATGTCGATGGAGGGGTCGGGCGAGGAGACGAGGGAGTCCTGGAACAAGTTGCGAGGTTATTGAGGCCAAATCAATAGTAATAGAGCTTGTTTTTAATTCAACTTTTTCGATCAAAAATGGGCATTAAAAGTAATCATGAATAAGTCATCTAAAACAATATTTTAGAAAAGCTTGAGATGAAATGAACATCCTCATTCTCTCTGTGATATTCTACAGTCTTTGAAAGTAAGTTTGAACCAAAAATACTTCATCAGTTCCAACTTTTAGATATGACTTTATATTACTTTAGACACCTACCTTAATATCCCCATCAAATCCGCAATTCTCGCTTGCACTGTGTTCGCTGACATCATCATTGGCTGTGGGCGACTCTGAGCCTCCATCGATTCTTTGGAACTCGTCGTTGAGTGGGTTGTATCCGTTTGATCCGTTGAATTTCGATCTGATGTCAACTGGCTGACTTGACATTGGGATCGCGGTTGCTGAGGCCGAGGTGGTGGGTGGGGTTGGCGTAGAGCTTCCAGCCAAGTTAATAGGGCTTGTAGCTCCATTCAGCGAGGTTCCGAAGAGTTGGGCGATCTGATTCGACCAATTGCCGGAGGGGTTTGTAAGCTGTTGGACGGCGGCGGCCAGAATCGAAGCCGTGTTCGAACTGGTGTCCTTCTGTTGCCGCTCCTCTCGCTCCTTGGCGCGCTGGTTCGTGAACCAATTGCAGATCTGCTGATACGTAACTTTCGGGTTGTTCTTGCGGTACACGGCGGAATTCAGCATATTCACGTAGTTCATCAGCTTCTGGCGAGGTGGGTTGGGGTCGGCGCGGAACCAGCGCTCAAGGCGGGGGATCTCCGACACTGGCGAGAAACGACATTGCTCGGCGAGAGGGCTGAAAATTTGGAGGGTTTAGAGTTGATTTTTTTATGTAAAATCATTTTCGATATTACACTAGGCAAAAATGAATTTTCTTCTCAAAAACCCTAATTTTTTCTCAAAACCCCCGATTTTTTTGGCAAAATCAAGCCAAATCTAATCTTAAACTACTGTAGCTTTCACTTTCTTTGTCCAAGGCCACCTAACGGCGCGCAAAAAAGCCGGCTTCAAGGGCATTTGCGGCTAAAAAAGAAGAGATGGATGTGCCAAAACTTTCGCATATAACTTTAATGTCTTTATGGAACGCCACTTTCGCGGACTGCTAATGGGATTTTGGAGGGGCTTACAATGGTCTGCAAGTATATTCTGTGTTTATAAAGGTCAAACTGGGTGCTAGAATCGAAAATGAAAAAATAGGGATTTTGATGATGGATAATATAAAAAATTGGAAAAACTGGTGGAAAATGTGTGGGTAGTGAGCAAAGTTGAGCGTTATAGACCTTCAACGGGACATATTCAACAATATTGTATAAGAGAAATTCCAGAAATCATCAGTTTTTGAAGTGTAATATCAAAATTTCGACAAGTCATCAAGTGTAATATAAGAAAAATTGAAATTTCTCAAAAACGAGTGCTTCTAATAAAAATATTCTTCTAGCATATAATTTTAGAGGCACTGCGGAATTTTTAAAGGCATCGGTAACTTTGTTCTAACATTTTTCTAAAAAATTTTTGAAAAATTTCGAAAATTTCACAATTTTTTGTATAAAATGTCATGCCAAAACTCCCTCTAGCTGTCCCAAAATTAAATTTTGAACCTCATTTTCCCAAATTCTCACCTCTTTCTGGCCTCCTTCTCGTTCAAATTGTCCATCCAATCATTGATGGCGCTGATTTGGCTCTCGGTCAAAGTGACGTCATGCCCTTGAATCACCGACTGCACGATCCCTTTGATTTCTTGGTTGTAGATTTTGTTCAGGAATTGCGGCTGCTTTTCCACCGCCATTTTTAGGATCCGGTCTTTCAGCTGGGTTATACATTGGGAGCTGTGGGCTTCGACCGAACCACTAAAACAAGACCAAAAATTAGGATTTTTTGTAAATTTTTTTTAGGATGAAGTTATAGGGGCCAATGGAAGAAGAGTCGTATTTTAAAAACATTTAAAAGCAATTTAAGAGCGATTTTCATCAAATCTTTCGGGATTTTTTGAAATTTTAACTCATTTTTGGCCAAATAAGTGAGAAAAAGGATATTCCAAAGGCATAAAAAATGTGTAAGATAACCCTCAGTCCTTCTAGCATACATTTCGTTTATTTCCCACAATATCCCTCTAAAATACGACGGTTATTTTCAAATTTTTCACCAAAAACCGGCGAAAACCACAAAAAATCTTTAAAAATCCCAAAAATTCCACTAAAAAATTGCTAAATACAGTCTTCCATTAAAATCCAGACCTCTTCATTTCATTTCGAATAACTTTACTGACACTAAAACTTACTGTCTTGTTAGAATCTTCAGTGTAATGTTGCTGGAGATCTCTTTGAATAACGTCGATGCGGACTCCTCCTGATTGTCGGTGATTTGTTCAAAGGAGAGGGGTTTCCAGTTGTTGATCTGGATCAGGCCTAAAACTTTCTTTTGTAAAATACGGACTTCTTTGTTGCACCTTTTTTTGATTTTTTCAAATTTTTGGGCACAAAATTGCACTAAATGCCCTGAGGGCGGAAAAATTATTATCATTAAAGCAGACTACTCCAATAGACCCAAATAAAAAATTACTTTTGAAAATTTCGTATCTTGGATTCAAAATACCTCAAAAAGCATTTTGGACATATTTCATCGTATTAAATGTCATCAACATCAAAAATTTGAAAAATTGGGTTCTCATGGTTTCTAATTTCTGTATGAAAGTTTCCTTTGCTCTTAGGCGGCATGAACCCAGTTATAATCAATGTTGTACAACTCTTTGTGTATATCCATTATCTCTTTTTCTCCTCGTTTTATTCGGCCAATTTCTGCTTCGATTTGGGGCCCATATGACACGGAAATGTTTTTGTTGGCCAAACGGCTTTATTGGCTTGGATTAAGGGGCGAGATGAACAAAAGAGAGCGGAATGGAGGCCCGAATGGGATCTGTTTATTTCCATTGGATAAAACCGAAAGAGGGGTTGAAAAGTCTCTTTAACCAAAGAGATGGGGGAATTGAGAAAGGGATTTGGCCCGGAGTGAATGTGGATTACGGTATTTGGAGGAGCTGGGAAGGAGTTTTGAAGGGATTGAAAATTTATTTCGAGGGGAATGAAAGATCTTGAAAAAAATCAGTTTTTACAACATCATCCTCATAAAAGGCGACCAAATCTGGAAAAACAGTTATGATTTTGAGTCATCCAGATCATTTGTAAGCTGTTTATAACATGTTCTAGGCAGCAGAAAACCAATCCCTCTAAAAAATCAGCAAAAATTTTATCTATGTCATCTACAAAGAACTGGTTGAAACTGATTCCCAAAGACTTCTAGATGCTCGCAAAGCTATTCAAGAAAACTTTCCAAAGCTCATGCTCTCCATTCCACTCAAAATTTTGCCTTTTTCACCTTCAACCACCAAAAAATCAACATTTTTTATATTATCCATCATCTCTTCATCTCTTCTCCTAAATCATCACAAAAGGTCTTCTCAAATCTCTCTTTTGTCCTCCAAATCCCCTCAATAAACAAATGGGCCGCTCGGCCCATCCAATCTTATCCGCTGTCCGAATCTATTAGGCTTAAACAAAAGACATTTTTGATCCTTTGCGCCGCATTTTCGCGCACTAAATTTGTCGACGGGATTTTCGGGGCCCAAACAGACGCGGGGCGAGACAAAAGCGCCGAGATTGGCAGATATGTTTGGCCAAGGGCCGAGGGAAATCCGGCTCGAATGTCGCGGGCGACGATGTGAATTAATGGTTGTAATTTAATCCATTAATCTATTTTCTTGGGATTTCGGGGGATACAGTACGAAAAACCGGCCAGAGATGCCATTTCCTAAGGGCGTATGGATTGAAGCGTTGGCAAGTGACGTTGTAAACCGTCCTTGAGATCTCAAGCTTTAATTAAAATTCCATGCGGAGGACGTGTTATACGATGAAATGTATCCAGAAACATTTTATCGTATAAAATGTCTCACATTAAAGAATTTGAAAAAATTCTTTACTGTTGCCATGTATACGAAAAAACCCTTTCATTAGATCCTAATTTTCTCCCAAACGAACCAGCGAAGGATGTTTTATACGATGAATCATGTTTCGGCGTATAAAACGTCACTAAAATTCAAAATTCGCCCAAATTAAATTTCAAACCCTTAGTTATAATCTGAGAGTACATTTCTGTCAATGATACCTCCCACAAATTAATTTGACTCCTTTTATCGCACTTTTTTGAATTCTCGCCCTTTCAAATTCAAATCGATTCACCGTTGCGCAATCTCTTAATGCGCTTTATGCAAATCACCCGCAGATAACATTCAGCGTCCGATTGGCCCAGGTTGTTTTCGTTTTTCCGCGCCCTGATCAACATCTGGCCAGAAAGGCGGCCGGATTATGAATGAGACTTTTTGAATTTGGATACGGAATTCAATGCGATAGGGCTTGAGAAAATCGCCGGCGACAAAAATATGCATGTCGAATACAGCCAGGAAGCGAAAGAGAGAACGAAATTTATGAGATTATAATAAGCGCTTTTTATACGATGAAACATGTTTTATCGTATAAAATGTAACTCGTTTTGATCTCTTAACGGGTAAAATATGTCATTTTTGCCAATAAAATATCTAATTGGGTTGAAATCTGTTTTGCAGACATTTTATACGAAGAAATATGTTTTGTCGTATAAAATGTCGCCCTGAAAAATTTTAATTTCTCAACCTGTAAAATGCAAAAATTTTTAGCTGAGAGAGCATTTCATACAACAAAATGTATTTTTAGTGCCATGTTATACGATAAAACTGCAATTTTTCCAATGAAATACCTCAAATGGTATCCAAAACTCTCAAAAGCGCTCCATTTTCTTCCACATTCGAAATCCGACCTACCCCTCGAATCCGCGATGAGTTGAGGCATTCCGAGAGCGCTGAGGACCGTGTCCACAATGTTGTTCAATTGCGTGTCGCCGGAGATGATGGCGTACGTGTCGGCGACGAGTTGGCCGTCGTTCGCGCAACTCAAACAGTGCTGCGGGCGAACGGTCTCGACGAGCACGCGAACCGGGAACATTTGCGCCATGCTTGGCAGGGAGTTGGCCAGGAGTTCGAGGGTCTTCGACTCGATGACCGATTCCTTCGTGGAGGAGGCGGAGGAGGCCGACACGGAGTAGCTGTTTTCGTTCACCAATCCAATTCCGGCGGCGTCGTGGGGTGCCAGTTTGAAGGCGGTGGGAGCTGAGTGGGGGATTCCGTTGATTTCTGGGCCAAATCAAGGGGCTCGGGTCCAAATTTTGAGGGCAAGATCACCTGGAATTCGTCTCAATTAACCTTTAAATCATCGGATGACATTAAAAACTCGTTACACCTCGAAAAACTTTTAATTTTTGGCCAAAATTTATACTAATTTTGATACAAAAACACCTTGAAATAAATTTTAAAGGCCAAATCACGCAAACAAATCAACAAATCACCCAGCAAAACGGTTAAATGTGGGGAATAGCGTCCGAAATTATATTATACTGGACCCAAATCCCCGAAAACCCCACCGGTAACAAAGCGATCGCGCAAATTCTGATGAAAGACACCTTCGCCCACTGATCTGGGCTTCCGTCGGGCCCAAGTCGGACCGCAGAATGGGATCCAGGGCGCAAAAAAATGGGGACCTGGACCCGGTTTTTTGACTCAAAAATACAAAAAAACGGTCGGCCGTGTGGACGACGGGGCATAAAAAATACGTTGGCAAATTCCATAAAAACCCTGATAATCGAGGATCTGTGGGGGAGAGGGCGGGAAATCGAGGGGAAAATCGAGGAGAATTGGATATTACACATGGTAAAATAAGGTTAAAAATGCGAATTATGATGACTTAAAAGATGCTGAATTTAGCTCTAAATAGATTTAAAAGGACAGAGGAAAATCTAAGAAGCTTTTTTAGTAGTAAAATTAGCATTTTTTTATCTTACACATGTCATGTGCATTATAAAAAATGATGATTTTTGATTGATAAACAATATAAAAAGCCTCAAAATACGTCAAGGAGGTAATTTTAGGCCCTTCAAGATTATATACAACCCATTATGAAGGTCAAATGCAAAAAAATATATCAATTTATATTAGACTAGGCAAAAAAAGGTCTCAAAATCAAAAAAGTAGTAAAAAATATGAATTATAACCTCTGTAGACTCCAGAACGCACCACCATTCAATACAGCACCTCTTCCAATAAAAAATACAGTAAAAAGTAGTCCAGATTGTAAGTGGCTGCTCGACAAACATGACCGACTTTTGCACGGATGTCCACAACAAAAAACTCCAGCGCCTCTTGAAGGCGCGCGTGTAAATACAGACAGCCCGGAAGTGCGAATCACACACACGTCCATGTTCGGGAGGGATGAGAAGATCCCCGCGTGGATAAACACATGCGGGCCTTCTGTTTGGCCTACTTTCCGCAGCGCGCTGCAGTCCAAACGAGCAGCACAATTATGATGACGTGATCGCTGGGGCTATTGTTGAGCAGATCGGAGTGAGGCAGAGTCCAAAAGAAGTCGATATGAAAGTGATATTCACCCGTTTACGGTGGTATATCATGCATTTCGAAGGTGATTTTGGAGCGGCCGAAGCGCGGCCAAGAACTTTTTTTTTGTTCGTTGGGCAGCTGATAGCCTAAAAGTGTAATTTAAAATACTTTTTAGGGAGCTGCACCTTCGAAAACGCCTGATTCTGGCATTAAGGTCAAATTGTTATCAAGTATAATATAAATATTGATCATAAAGTGGGCAAAACAGGTAGCACCTCAGATTTTTGACTTTGAAAACACCTTAAAGACCTCTATCCTTAGCCTGAATGCCATTACACATCCATAAAGGTATCATAAACGTTTAAAGATAAGTTGATATCAAGTGTAACATAAGTGCAAATAAATACTCAAAAAATCTTGATTGTTGGCCTACTGACTTGTAGGACTTTCAGCAAGCTCTAAGATTCTCTCAGCGCCTTTCAAATTCTTTAAAACTCCTAAGAACCAAAGATTTTTAACTTAATTTCCTCAACTCCCCCATGACATCATGTACAATATAAAAAAACCGCAATTTTTCGGCAATTCCTTCGTATATCCCTTATCTCCGCTACCGTACGCCCTCATCCAATCGAGAGGACAACCGGGGATGACACGAGAAAGCAGCCGAACGAAGAGGCAGAAAGGCCGGAGGGGGGATTCAAGCGGGATGGATGAGTTGGGGATTACTACGGTACGGAACACGCGAAACGAAGACGAGCAAGAGGCGGGAGGAGGGAGAAAAGCCGGGCCGCCCCGCCGACTTCTCTCCCTCAAAGCCGACTGGACAAAGCGGAGCGGGGGCAGCAAGAGGGACCAGAGGGAGTGGGGGGACGAGAGAGGATGCGGCCTCGACTTAAGGATGCTGCGTCTTGTCCCCGGGAAACAGGAGCGGGCTTCTCGCGGTTCTTGCGGGATCTTGATGCGAGGGCTTAAGCGTGAAGGGCGACGGACGCATTGGTCCGCATCGTGGGGGCCAGGGCTAATCAGACGACCCCGTTAGATGCATTTACTTGGCCAACGGGTGTTTTATAGTGGGATCTCGGCGAAAAAATCATGATTTTGTCAAAAAAACTGCTAGAAACCTGCTGAACTTGCTTGCTAACCAGATATTATGTTGTATAGAGTAGAATAAAACAGTAGACAACAAAATTTTGTTCTAGCAAACAACCTCAATACACACAAACAAGATTGTTAGTGCAAAATTCACCTTTTCCTAACCAATCTCCCAAAAAATCATGAACTCTTTCGTTCTACAAAGACTTCTAGGGTCTATTGCCCTCCAATTTTCCTCAAAACCTCACTAGTCCAATATCAGATCCGCCCCTTTCCCCCATCTCTCCATTTCGTCCAAAATAAGGTCACTAAAATGCTTAGCCATTCCCCACAAAGCCGGCTCCAATCCATGCCGTAGAACGGGCAGAAAGTGGGCGGAGCCGCGGCGCAAGATCGCGAGGACTTTGAAGATTAAAACCCCCAATTGTCGTATGTCATAAGGCCTTAGGCGCGGCGCTATATTAAGCCCGAAAGGCTTTCCCGAGGACATATGAGCTTACTTTCCCGGGGACATATGAGCTTACATCATTGGGATTAAGCGCTCCAGAAGTCGGGGATTTCCGTCGGGTTCCGAATCTTTGGCCATAGCGTTCTGGGGAGAATCTTTGGGAGCTCAAAAAAAAGGTCGATTGGATTAGTAGATAGGGTCATTCTTGAGAGGTTTTGAGTCAAAAAATGATGACAAATATAAAATTTTTCTTGAAATTCCAAAAGCGACGGCTATCAGTCTTAGAATAGGAAAAATCCCTCATCATGACGAATTTTCTTCCACTCTCAATGGCACAATCAACTCTAAATAGACTCTGTTCTCTAATAAAAACCTTACTTTGCCAGAAACATACTAAAGATCACACGATTCCCCCAGTTATCCCACAAGACCAAACATTCCATGCCCTCACAACAAACCCCACAAGATCTCCAAGCCCCGAAAGCCCGTTCCACGTAGCCACGGCCGATGAGTCAAAAGACAGCGAGCGGATCGTTGAGCCCGCTATACAAAATTCCAAACGTGGGGCAAAGAGGCAGCGGGGAGGGGATTCAAATCATCGGGAAAGAGCAAAAAAGAGGACTATCTCTTATCAAATGCACATTCCGCTCGGCTATAAAATTCGGAATGGAAAATATCCACACCCTCTTTTGCATATCTCTTATCTGCCTCATTGGGGATGGAGGGGAGGGGAGAAATGGGACAATTGGCGGATGGAAAGTGCAATAGGAGAACGCACAGTGCAATGGAAGGATCGCACAGTGCAGAAGAAGATCGCAAAGTGCAGCGCCAAGTTGGAGAAGGGTCAGTGCGAAGAAAAATTACTTTTTCAGAAAGAATGTTTGATTGCACAGTGCAGTAAAACCATGTGTAAAATTCAAAAAAAAATCGCTAGCGATGGCACAGCGCAGCTACAAATTGGAGTCCGCACGGTGCGATCGATAATTGCACAGTGCGAACGGAAAGTGCACAGTGCGATCGAGAATTAGTGTGATAAAAATTGCACCATACAATCAAAAATTGCACAGTGCGATTGAAAAATGCACCGTGCAATCGAGAATCGCACAGTGCGAGCGGAAATTTTGCACAGTGCGATGCGACCGAAAACTGCACAGTGCAACCGAAAATTGCACAGTGCAATCGATAATCGCACAGTGCAATAAAAAATTAAGAACGCACGGTGCAAGAAGAACACTTTTATTGACGGATCTTCCCCCAAGCTGTGTCCCCTCTCCCCCAACACGCTCAGAGGTATCGTAGGAAATCAGCGCTTATCTCTTTTTTCCGCCGCTCATCCCAAGGAAAACAGATTATTTCCGGGACTGCAGCGGCGTCGGCCCGTCATTGGCTGATTATCAGCGCCGCCACAAAGTCGGACGGAGACTTTTGGGGGTCTTGTGGAGAGATTAAGAAATTTGCGAACCTATAATGGATATGGTACGTCGATATTTCCGAATATCAAGTCAAAAATTAATGGAATTCCGATGAATTAGGAGTCAGTACGACAAAGCTGTATTTTTATTCTGTCTAGAATACAATATCAGCTCTTATTACCGTTCAAACTCCCATTTAAAACCGAAAAAATGTCGCAGGAAAATGGATCCCTTGGCCAGCACAAAGGCCATGCCATTTCTCGCGCTTCTTGGCCAAATTCAAATCCCAGATTGAATTGCTGAATACATTGCTTCGTTTCGAATCCAAATCGTTTTTATTATGTATTCAGTCGTCTTCGAGTCCGCCTTTTGTTCAGTTTTAAATTAAGCGGAGGGGGCGCGCACCGATCGGAAAGGTATGTCGTTTTGTGGGGGGAAGTAAATAAAACGAGGGATGCCGGATTTTTGAATTTGATTTGAATAGGAGCCAAGTCTTATATCACAGTCAAAAAATCAAAAAAATACGTCAATATGACATATTTTTTTTGAAAAATTTGAAAAGCGGCAAAATTTTGAGATCTTCCGAAAAATCGGTCGTAATGACGACTTTCGTCATTATTATAGCAAAATTCATATTGGCTATGACTTATAAGGCTTGATTTTATCATAGTCATCGAAATCAATATTAAAATTCCGTCATTATGACATATTTTTTGAACTCCGAAAGAAATGCGGCCAGCTTCCAAAAAATCGGTCGCCCTGACACATTTAAGGAGAATTTTTATTAAACATTATTCCCATTCGATAGCTAATACTTTAGTTAATCACTAACCGCAAAAAAATTCAAAAATCTCCGTCATCATGACACAATTTTTCGCGAAAATCCGTAATCCGGACCGATTTCCGCAATAAAAATAATCAAGTCCCATTCCGACGCCATAAAACCCCTCGGAACGACCTCAAATGGACTTGCATCGCTCGCCCCCAGATTAGATATGATTAAAAATGCAAGACGATCCCTGATAAAACCGCACAAAATATGCGCTCCGCTCCACTTTTGGGCCCCATTCCGAGATCTCCTTTCGTAACAAAAATGTAGCGCAATTCATGGAAATCAGGCCGAGCCTGTGCGGAACAACAATGGAGGGATCAATATCATTGGAGATCGGCTGCACGGCCCAGGCCGAGCGTGCATGATGAGTAATCCGGCGAGAGCTGCAAGGTCTGGCCTGTTTTTGGGTGTTTCTGTTTTTTGGAGGGCCTTTAATGGAATTCAGAGCGGAGAATAGGGGAATTTAGGAGGGGAATAACGCGGATTTTCAGGTGATAAGGGCTCATGGGCAAGAGGAAAAAAATTGGGAAGGTATCGAGGTCTGATGATCAAGGGGTAAACTGTAAAAAATACGGCCGATACTCCCTTTAATTCGAATATCAGACAATCAAAAAAGAAAATAAAAGCTTTCCAGTTCGTTTTAAACCAAATCACAGCTGATTCTAACCAACAACCTCAATTTTTTCGACATATTAGACTAGGTATCTGATGACTTTCTTTGTCATTTTTTCGTTATAAATCTCTATGTTTGAGTCGAAATTTTAAATATCACCTTTTTAGGTCTTATACTTCATTTTCTAGTAAATATATTCAAAAAATTTGGCCCTAGCGACATCAATTATATTACACTAGACACCTGATCCAGAATCCTTCTAACTGCTCTCTTCTACTAGTTTTGTCTTAAATTCATCTCTAAATATTCCTAATCTTCCACAAATTTCTCTAAAACTTGGGTTTTACCGTACCCGACCCCCTCATCCCCCTCCTACTACCTTATCCATGACAGAATCGCGGCCAGATTTCCCGTGTGAAGCTAAAGTTCAGATCGGGGGGTGGTGGCGACGATGAGTGTTGGATCTGAATCAACCGCCTTTAATGATTTTCGATCCCGCTTCGGAGTGGGATGCCAATGAATATTCGCATCCATTTGGCCCAATCCTTTCTTGGCCATTTTCCGATCGAAAATGGGAATTTTTGGTCGCGAAAAGAGGGATCGCGGCGAAGCCGGAGAGCCGCACAGAGGCGGGCGGCGGACTCCACGCAGCCTCGGCGAGCATGGTAGTCGACAACAGGCGCATAAAACTCGGGTGGCCACACCTCGATTGACGTCCGAAAGCCGCCTTCATTAAAGTCGAAAATCTAATGGCTGTGTTATCAACTCGTCTCTTCCTCACGGCCCCATCGCCTATTTTTGGGGGCTTTAGGATCGCGAAACGACAAATAGATAGATAAGGGATTGCAAATATGGGGTAATAAAGGGGACTTGTTTGCTGCACCGTATGAAAACTGAGATGGAAGGAGAAGGGGAGCACAGAATCGGGCGAATTTCAGGGGATGATAAAGGACTAAAGGCGAGAGCGGAATAGTCCAGCATCTTTCAACAGGGCTTGTTGTATGTTAACTACCCACGATCTTACACTAGAACATCAAGGGCTCAGAGAAATTTCAAAAAATTGACATGAGCAACTTCAGATATGGAATGATGACAAAAAACCTTGAATTTTATGAAGAATTAGTGTTTAAAATCAAAGGCCATAGTCTAAAGTCAAAGTCAAGGGCTACTAGGCTTTTTTAAACTTATTTATTATAGCCAACAACCTAATTTCCGCTTTTGATGACAAAAGTTATATTATACTAGGCATCTGATGTCGAATTTTGTCAAAAAGCCCAATTCAAATAATAGAAATCGCCCTCAAAACTAACATAGTACCAAATCAAGAAGCTCTCTTCTATTTTCATCAAAAACTACCTGATACTTGACCTACTTCAAGATTAATTTTAAAAAATTATGTATTATAGTCATTTGACCTGACAAATGTTTTGCCAGACTCCGTTGTCATGTTTTTTGCTTCCAAAATGATAAACAAGCCTTTTACCGTCAATTTACAAAGGTTACATTTGAATATCTGATCCCAACCGGGCTTATTTAACATTTTTATATTACACTAGGCATCTGATCCATCCTTTCCTCAAAATCATTGACTCAACCATTTCCCAACGTCTTTTCCATATCACCAGACCCACACCGAGTCCTCGCAATCACTCGGAATCCGTGATCAAGCCCGTTAAAGCGCTTGACTCTCAGTTTTGCGGCTTTTTCGCCCCCCAAAACTCTGTGGTCGCCCGATTTGGGCTGATAAGATAAGGCCGCGGTCCGACCGCAAACGGAATGGAAGGGGGGCCTAAACTCGGTGCGCTCATCCCGGAAAATGAGAGACGAATCCCGTGATTATCAATGTATGGTGGAAAAAAATCTATCTATTTTTATCGAATCACTCTTTTCTTCGGTTTCGTGGACATGGATATTGCGTAATTGAGATTAGAAAAAGAAAAAATTGAAGAAAAAAATTTTAATCCAAAAATATTTAAAATATTTTTTGATATCACCCTTGCCTAGTACAATATAACTTCCCCCTGAAAAACCCACTCTATTCCCTCTCAAAATTAAGCCCAAAGTCCATGGATGATTTTGCAAAAAAAATGAAAAGAGCGGCCCAAACCCACGGCCCTTTTTCCGCGAAAATAATTTCGAAGAAGGCCTCAAATAAGATAGATAGATTAGACGCGATTGGCCGCCGCCATTTTAATCTAACCCTTCCGTCGGGGCGGCGGGGCCAATCTCCGGCTTGCGGAAAGCCCAAACATCGGCCCAACTCTCAATGCTTCTAGCACGG